TATAACGTGTAAAAACGTTCAGTGATGTATAACGTGGTGTTGCCGTGGTGTTGCCGTCGTTCAGGGACATATAACGCAGATGTGTTCAGTGATGTATAACGTGGCGGTGGTGGGATACTTGCTTCTACAATTTTGAGTTGTAAAGCTTCCTTCCCAGGATGTAGTAATGAATTTGATTTAATGTCACAGATGCCAACAAAGGATAAAGTGTATACAGCTTTTGAATCAATTGCTAGAACTAAAACCGTAGGTACGAAGAAATCAAACTAAAGAGAGAAGAGAATCTGAAAGGAGCGAAGTTATTTAAGTTGTTCCAATGCCAAGTCTCGTCACGTGCTTGGCCAAGCGAATGAAATCCTGTCAAATGAAATCCAGCTCCGTCACAATCCGTGACAATACTAAGTCTTTTACTTCTTTTAGAGTAGGCCTAGTAATACTATAATATCCGAGTAAATATACTCGGTAGTACTGACTACCTAACTAGACTAGTCCTATCTATATTATAGTAGTATAACTTTTATACCTTTAACTTAGTGTATATTAATAATAGGAATAGTCTAATACTAAGGTTTTGTGACAGACGTGCTTCAGGTAGAACTCAGAACAATTAACACTCTATTCTTAGGACAAAAGACGAGGAAAGAAGGAGAGCTCGAGAGAGCTGGGAACTAAATACAGGTCGTGCGCGCTAGCGCCTCGCTAAGCGAGCATGTGACATCCAGCCCTCGTGACCATAACCGTCACAGGTTTAGCCTCTTCTTATATTATACCTTATATTTAATAATAAGTTAAACTAATAAAGATAGTTAAAACTAGTTTCCTAAATATAAAATAGTTACCGAACGCTTATAGAATACTTATAGAATAGTTAAGGAACGCTTTTAGAATAGTTCTAGAACAGTCTTAGAATAGTTTTAAATTCTACTCTTTAGGTATATATATAATTATATAAGTAGGGTACGCGTAAGGTACTCCCGGCCTCTACTCGAGCGCTTATAAGTATATATTATATACGTAGTACCTAACCCCTTAACGCTTACTACTAATATTATACGTTAGGCTACTTATAACATATGTTACGGAGTTGGAGGAACTGGGGGCGGATCACGTGTAGCATGGCCCGTGCGTGCTGCTGGACTGCTCTATTTAGGCTCTCGTTCCTCTGGAACTCTCTTCTTCTCTCACTTAGTTGTTCGTTCAATATAGCAGTTTCCAGTTTGACTCAGTATTCATCACAGCAAGCAGTGGTTCACTCCACACGGTCACAATATACGCTTATTAAATTTCGCTAAATCGACTAAATTTAATACTTATATCTTTATAGCGTTAGGGTTAAGCGTATAAGAGTAGTACCGAGTATATAATATAGCTTATACGCTATAGCTCTATACTCTAAATACGGCTCTATAGGGTACTTTTCCGTAGTATTCCGGGACTATCCCGGGAGCGTTCGAGAATCGTTCTATAATTATTCGGTAACTATTTAAGAATAATTCTTAGACTATCTATAAATAAAACTATTTAATATTAAAATAATTATTAATTTAAACTATTATACTTAAAAATAATCTTAAGACTATTATTTATTTAAATAGTTATAAATTAAAGACTATTTAGCTTTTAAATTATCTTATATTAGTGTAAAATTTAAAATAGTTTTTACAATAAATACTTATAAATTAAAATAGTTATATAATTTTAAATTATCTAGAAATAGTTTTATAATAGTTTTACTTTTATAGATTATTCTATAACTATCTAAAAAACTCCGCTTTCCCCTCTGAGGTAGGTAGAGATAGAAAAGCGCGTACTTATAAACACTTTATAATATTAGTATAAAAATAAAGCTATTATTAAAATATTAATTAGTAGCCTTATGCCTTATAGTAAAGCGATTATTCTTTCAAAGTTATTTTATAATTAATTATAAAAGTATATATATTACTATAGAGTATATATAAGGCGCGGGAGCTCGTAGCGCTACTCCCTCAAGATCCTATACTAAAAAGTCTCTAATAAATACTCTACGTATAGTGTATAAGTAAGAAAGAAAATTCTTTACTTAATTATAGTAAATACTAAAGTGAGGTACGGTACGTTTATTAGATTATGTTAGGTGACAGAAATTCATTATACTCTATTCTCTTCCCTCGAGATTTTCGTATCTACGAGTATCGCTTAAATACTCAAGCCAACAAAATTCCCACTCGCTAAGCGACTTTCTATATGTCCCTCATCTCCTCCAAGTACGCAATCTCGTCCCAAACAAACCAGAGAACAAAAATTCAGCATCTCATTTCTGACCACCAAAAGTATCATCCCCATTTCCACCCTCTCGCTCTCCCTCTCTACTCCCCTGTTCCCCCGCCCTAACCCCCTCCACCCCAACCAAAACATACACCTCCCCCTCCCCACCCACCAACGCCTCCATCCTCACCTCCATCACCCCCTCCTCCAACCCCTCAAGAACAACCACCTCTCTCCGTCCCCCGTGCACAACAACTCCTCGAAGCTTCACGATCGACATCTTATGCGTGACATCCAACCGCATCCCCTCAATCAGCAGCCGCGCTCGCACGCGCGCGATGAGCGTCGTGAAGACACGGTTTGTAACTGAGTCTCCTCCTAGGCTATGCGGCGGGGCGCCCGTGTATACCCATCCACGGGAGGTGCTGGAGAGGTTCTTGCTCTCGATTTCGATGGTGAGGGGGAGGCCGGTGGATGGGGGTGGGGATGGATGGGTGGTGAGGTGTTGGGTTTGTAGATTCTCGCTTGGGGTTCTTTGGGGCGCCTGGTGGTGTTGTTGAGGGGGGTGGGATAGAGGGTGTTGAAGGCGAGGGAGACGGAGAGGGGTCTCTTTGGAGAAACACCTTTGTGATTGTTATCCTTTTTGGCGCCCATGGTGGAGAGGATGGTGGTGGGCGGGTTGGAGGAGTGCGTGGTCCTTCGTCTGGAGGTGGCGATGGCGGTGGTGTTGATAGTTAGGGTGTTGATGGATGTGGAGTTGATGGTTCCATCTCTGGGGTCGCTGGTTGTAAGTCTTCTACTGCGTAGGCGAAATCTATGATGGCGATATTCTGTAAAACCATCATGTCTTTTGTATGAGCTGTGCTCATTTGAGTTGTTTGCGTAGGTGTGACTAAAGTTTTCTCATCAGAGGAAGACATCTTTCCCTTGTGTGCTGGTGTGGTATGAGGAATCTTTGATGTCTTGTGAGAATATCGATGTAGTCTTAGAAAGAAGCTCCAGTATGACACTGTAGGTTAGGAATGGTATGTCCAACAGTGTTGTATATAGACCTTCATGATACTATAGCCTCCTCAAGCACCCAAATTCAAGCCATCCCCACCAGAAGAACAGTGAAAGTCAAACTGTCGTCTAGAATCCTTTACGCACATATCGTGAATCCACCTCTGTCAGAAGGACTCATACTCGCTAACTACCTCGTTAATGGAATTACACAAAGCTCTAGTGAAGCCCTCCTGCCTTTTTAATGAATAATGAGGAGTAAACTTCATGGTTGGTATATCTATAATAGGTATAGTAAACTAATATTCTACCCTCGCTTAAGAACTCCAGATCAAAAAAAAAGAAAAAAAGTGTAACGACCTCTAATCGTCTATATATTGCAACTCAAAATCAAAAAGATCTAACAAGAAAGCAAAGAAATCTACACCGCATAGTACAATTACATATCTACATTTAGTTACAGAAAAGGATATCCTTATATCAACTCTTATACCCTTCAACAAGTTTCCTTTCTCTTCTCATAGCAAATCCAACAAGCAAACCCTGTGAGGGTACAGACGTGGAGGAAGCGATGTGGCCCGTGCCCTTGGGACTGTAAATAGCCTCAGATCTTACGATCACTTCCACTCTTTGTAGACAATTTAGTTCTTACGCATACAGTTGACCTTGTCGCTATCGCACCCTTACAAACCCTTAATATCTGGTCTGTTTCCCTAACTATAGTAGGGCGTTGGGCGCACTTATACTAAACAATATATAATAACTGCACACCAAATAATTAACAATTATCTTCTACCTCCTTACTTCCTATTCCACAAATCCCAACCTTAACTCCTAATCCTGTAAGCTTGTATATAAGACAATTAAACCCACCCCTCTAAAGTGTGTTAGAAAAGATATCATCTAGTATTAGAGATTAACAAACAAGCTATAAATAGTTCCTAGGGTATTAGTCTCTGTTTCCCTTCCCTCTCTAAAAGGAGTGGGAGCGAACACGGGAGTACCAAACCTTCCTAAAACTAAATAATATCCGCCCTGAAATTCCTAGAGGGAAACGAAAACTTGACTTAATTTAAAATAACCTAAAAGCGAAGTCTTACTATAATATAAGTAAGTCTTGGGGATATTATATATAGGTACTACTATATTAAACTTACCTTGAACCTAAATGCTGGACCGTAAATCCCTAAGTCTATATATGAGAACAGACGTGTTAGAATCACGAGTACTTAATATATACACCTTAGCGCATAAACAAGGTTAGAATACAGAAGGTGTGACGGTTATGGTCACGAGGGCTGGATGTCACATGCTCGCTTAGCGAGGCGCTAGCGCGCACGACCTGTATTTAGTTCCCAGCTCTCTTGAGCTCTCCTTCTTTCCTCGTCTTTTGTCCTAAGAATAGAGTGTTAATTGTTCTGAGTTCTACCTGAAGCACGTCTGTCACAGAAGGCACGTAAGCGAGTATCAAGAACAGGGTATGTAAAATCTCCGTCCCGCGCAGAGAAAAGAAAATGCTCACTAAATACAAGCAGCCTCCTTTCACTACCCGAAACCAAAACCAGTGCTAGCTAAAATCCCGCTGTAGTGACCTTGATCCCAACGCCGTAATCTGATGCAAAACGCTAGAATGCAATCACCCATCCATACATGGATGTACAACCCACAACCCACAGCTCACAGCTCACAGCTCAACTCTACCTCTCCCTGTTCCCACCCTCTTTCCACTCCATCAGCCCTCATCCCCCCAACTACTGCCCAAGCACCCCACCAATTCCACTCCAAAACCCACACCTCTCCCTCGTCACCTCATCAGGACTTTCCATCGTCACAGTCCTATTAGTAAAATGCACCCTCTGTCCCTTCCCATCCCCCCCAAAAAACACCCCCCAAACCGGCGCACCCCCCGCCTTCAAAGTATTCGGATTCTTCGTCCTTATAAAACTCGTCCAATACTTCTGAATCGAATTCCCCGGCACATCCCCCTCTTTATTCACTCCCCAAATCGACGCCGCCTCCGCAACATGCGTCACGCCATCGCCACTTAGGGCATTGGCCGTGGAGAGCGAGTCCCAATGGTAGTTCCAGGAGGCGTTCATACCGTGATGNATGCGTCACGCCATCGCCACTTAGGGCATTGGCCGTGGAGAGCGAGTCCCAATGGTAGTTCCAGGAGCTGTTCATACCGTGATGGGGGAGCGCGGCGGACATGAAGAGGCTGGGGCAGTTGTAGCGTAGCTCGCCGTAGGCGAGGGCGGTGGCGGACCAGTAGGGGCCGCGGTTGGGGTATTGGTTGGAGGGGGTGGAGGGGTAGAGGGTGTGGGTGCGGGAGAGGTGGGAGGGGGTTAGTTTGGGGAAGTTGTTTTTGAGGAAGGTGTCCATGTCGGTTGCGTTTGCGAAGGCGGTGGGGTCTTTGGGCGTAAAGTTTGTGCCTTCGTTTGTGCAGGCGCTGAGGATCGTTAGTTGGCATGATGAGATGGGAGGGGCTCTGGAAGCTGGAAGGAAAGGGAGGAAGACATACCCATAGATGGTAGGGACTTTGACAAACTTCCCTTCTGCGTATAAGTTGTAATTGTAGTCCGTTGTAAAGGTTCCATCGATAATACTAGAGTAAGGGAAAACAGGCGGTCCCCCGCCTCCTCCTGGTGTTACAATAGGTCCATTATGTAGAAGTAGAGTATTGACATCGAGATCCCGAAGACATTTCAATGTGTCGGCTGCGGTATCACACTTTACACGCTTGACAATGGTATCATATTGATACTGTGCTTCATCAACCGTATAACGAGCTCCATAAGACGGACTTTCACCAGCAGCGGCGTGGAAGAGACCATCGTCTCGACCACCGTAAGCTGTGAGATGAAGACTTACGGAACCACCTCCTGCTGAGCCTCCACCGATTGTGACATGTTTTGGATCTCCTCCAAACTATTATTTGTTAGCGGTGATATATGCGAGCGGATGAATCTTTTACCAAGTGGATATTCTTCTGCACCCAATGAAGCATCTTTCTCTGATCCAAAAGACCAACATTTAAATCCCCATTCGCTTTGATTTCCCTGCTGGCCAAGAATCCCTGAAGACCAACCCGATAATTGGAAGTCACAACAACGATACCATGATCCGCAGCGTTGATTAAGTCACTACCATCCAGAGTCGAGTCGGCAAGATTATTGAGTCCTCCGCCTTGGAAATTGATGAAAACGGGGAGGTTGCCTTTGTTATCTGTCGGTGCAAAGACATTGACGAATAGGCAATCTTCCTTCTGGACCCCGTTTTTGACAGCATCTGAGATGGCCGTTGAAGGAGAAGATATACACACTCCACCACGCTAGTGAAGTCAGCTTCTTGTCATAAAGATATTTGGAGGAAACTCACAGCCGTAGCAGATTGAAGCGTAGTATTAACCAGAGGATCCTTCGGAGCTCGCCATCTCAAATCACCCAACGGAGGAGCAGCATATCTCATTCCCAACCATTGACTAACACCATTCTTCACATTGGCACCACGGTACTTCGCATACCCCAGATCAACCGTCAAACTGACATTCTCGGCCCTGGAAATCCCAAGAACCAAACCGATAACCAGACCCGTAACTAACATGGCGAAGAAGAGAGAGCACACAAAAGCCCGGATAGTCGAGACAGTCAACAGCTTGCCCTGTAAGGGCACAGGAGGGGGATGCCATGGCATTATATAATCTCGTGATACGTCGTTTATTCACTGCTGCGCCATTCACAACCTGAGGTCCTCTACTGGGATTGCGCCAGGTCAGATGCTTTCTCTTTGACACACCAAGACACTGACGATCTTGGGTCCGCGGGGTGAAGGAGTCGTCAGGAAGAGTGGCAGCCTGGAAGGAACCAATAACTTCGGTGCAGGTTGAATATGCCCCTGTGTGTACGGATCCGGCGTGGCCGTCGGTTGAGCTACCCGTGCCGATATCCACATCTTCGTACGCACGCCAGGAAGCGACCAACTCCTGCCAACCGTTCTGGTGGCTGACGATACCTGTACAGTATGAGGCTGAAGGATCCCAGGGTGAGATTCTACGACGCATGTTATTCCGGGCAACATGGTGGGTGGCTTGGTAAGACAACAGGCACATGGAGGCCGTGATAATTTCAAGCTCCATCTCCCTCTCATTGTGACCTCGTTACCGTTTTCATCTGGATGAATTAAAGAGACGAAAACATCGGGACAGGGACACACACGAAGAACTCAAGACCAAGCATCCCAGCAGACCCTCACGAACAGGTCAAGACCCGCATATTGCCCACAATTAACTCTCCAGACCGAAGGCGGGGAACCCTTCAATTGGGACGCAGAAAAGGGCGAGGAAGAAAGTGAAAATGACCACGAGCCACGAGATAGGTGGGGTGGGAGAAGTGGGTTCGTACCTTGATGTCGGCTCTACTGCGTACAACAGTCCAGTTGGTGCCTCTTCCAAGCTCCCAGGAAGGAAGGGATATGAAAGCCGGAATTGCAACCGGAAAAATCTTTATGCAGTACGAGTGCCGATATCTGACGGCCTCAAATCCTTACAGTACCAAAGCGAAAAGTAGCAAGTGAAACATTTATACCGAGAAATCTTACTGCAAAGGAGTGAAGGATGAGAGGGTGCAGGGCACCAGAAGGATGCCCTGCGGATACGCTTACAGTAGATGAGGAATCAAGGGTCCAAAAAGAGACTTTCGACAAGCCCTTGGTTCGGTTCCACCAGTCCTGGAAGACTTAAAACCCGACAAGGTAGGTAATTAATTGAATCTACGCAAACAAATAACATCATACCTACTCACAATCACACACCAAAAAAAACACACAAAAACAATCCACCCCAACCCACTCCTTCCACGCCCCAAATCACCAGTCCCAAGCAATCTTCCTTCAAAAACAAGACTATCATACGAGTATTAACCCTCCAACCCTGGTACCCTTACCTAGGTATATAATAGCTAATCACGATCAAGCTTCCAGCTCCTGTAGAAGTCATAATCATTATACTTTAGACGAAGCAGTACAAGTAATAAATTAACTAACCACCACCACCACCTATTACCTAAAAACAGCCTTTATTATTTTAAAAGTACCTGTAGTAAGCTGGAACTGGAATTAGACAAGGTAAAGTACCTAGGGGTAAAATTTGGTTCATCGCTTCTCTACGTGCCGTGCCCCGAAAGATTCATCATTCGCTGTACCCTACCAAGTACCGTACTCCTAGGCATACCTAATATAACCTTTAAATTTCGTTCGTTTGTTCGAAAACTACAGGACCACTACCAACCACTAACGGATCTACTATTAAAACCCCCCCGCATATAAGAACCCCCTCACCTTAATCCCTCCTACCATCCAAACCCCAGAACGACAACTCCTCCAACTCTTTCCATACACCAACCTGACAATACCCCAAAACCCCTCTCAATCTATAGTAAGAAGAAATTGTGGTTCTTTTTCTCTACAACCACCGAGACCATTACGGACTTGCACCAAAACACAATCAACTTTATTCATCCATTCCATTCCGTTCATTCAGTGCATTCATTCCAAGCATAAGACTACCTATTTACATATCGCGCACCCTTACCCCCATCCGTCTCCGTAGAAGAGAGCCCCGAGGCCCATGCACCCATTCTCCCATCCATCTAAACGAGCGGGAAAAGAATCTCATCTCATCTCATCTCCCTCCCCCTCTCTCATTGAAAAGGGAGGGAGGGAGAAAAAGATACAGCAAGTACCTCATTGTAATGTAATGTAATGTAGCAAACGCCCAAAACGCCAGCCAGGTATATCCCATCCATATCCGTAGCAAAGAAACGGAATCAATCATTCACATCTAGGTATCCGCAAAAATCCCCCTGAGAACGCCATACGCTCACTGCCTTTAACCCAGGGACGACCGCTCGCCACCATCTAAATCAGTTCAATTCACTCACTTGAATAAGCTCCTCAAATCTTCTAGTCTCTTGCGAGCGGCATCCATCTTATCAATCCGTCCCGCCTCCTTATCCATGCTGATGCTGGCCAACTTCTTCTTCTTCTCCTGCAATTCGAGCATCTTCTCCTCGAAACTGTCGTTCATGATGTACCGAACGGTCGTCACCTCTCTCTTCTGACCAAGTCGGTGAACACGGTCGACGGCTTGCGCCTCCGCTGCGGGATTGTACTGCGGCTCCATGACATAGACCTTGTTGGCAGTGGTTAAATTGAGACCGAGTCCACCAGCCATGATAGAAACCAGAATCACGAGGATCGATGGATCCGTTCGAAAGTTATCCATAGCTGCACCGCGAGCTGTTCGTGTCATTTTCCCATCTAAACGAGTATACTTGATATCGTTCTGCTGCAAGGCGAGTTGAATGAGGTCAAGATGAGCTGTCCAACCGGAGAAGACAACACTTTTGATAGGCGGCTCATCTGGCTTCAATGATGATTCGTACTTGGAGCGCAAAAGATCCGCAACCAATGCGCTAGTCTTAGTATGTGGACCGCTATAATTGTCCAGCGTCTTGCCTGCGCCCTTTTCTTTTACCTTGGGTCCTGCATTCTCAACACCACCTCTTGGTTGCAAAGCAAAGAAAGAAAGTCTAATATGTTGATAACAAACCGTGCAATCGACCATTTGGTTACCTCGAGCAAGTTGTTCCAATTGTGATTTATAACCACCAAAGCATGAAGGACACAAAATATGAAAGCATGGTGTCATGTGGCCGATAGTCTCATCTTTTGCATCTCCATCTACCTCGAGAGCCTCATCCTTGGTGCCGACTTTTCGGTTGCAACTCGCACAAACATCGGCGTTCGTTTCGACCATCAGATTGTACATATCATAGGCTTGCTTTGAGGAGAGTGCAGGTCGATCATCCTCGTCATCACTGTCAAGCTCGATGGCCGAGTCCTTGCTGAGACCGTACATGACTTGGAGATCTTCCTCACACAAAAGGTCCCGGCCATGGGCACAAATAAGTCTGAGACGTAAAATTGACTGGAGGATATGAACGTATGACTTGCCACCAAGTGACTTTTCCCGCTGTCCAACGATAACCTTAACCCGATCAGAGGCATTTTTAGCAAATATCTCATAAATTTGCCGTTCCTGCGAGTTAAAATCAAGCTTGACAAGGTGGTCATGGCGTGGCGGCAAGTCAATGCGATCCTTGAGGCGTCGAAGGGTGATGCTATCAACTAACAATCGCAACTTTGGCAGGATTTCAGGATCGCACAACTTAAAAGGGGCCATGATGTATTGCGCAAACCCTCCCTTCTCATCAAATGGCTTGACCCGGAGGAAAGCCATCAAGGCACCGAGATCTTCTAACCGATTCTGAACGGGGGTACCTGTAACTGCCCATCTACGCGACGCCTGCAGTCGGCAGATAGCTTTAGATTGCTGTGTTGATTGTTCCCGAATCATATGGGCTTCGTCAAGAACAATTCTGAACCAATTCATTGCTTCAAGTGGATAAACTCCTGGTTTATTCTTGCTCCGATAGTTGAACTCGGTGGCGACAGATCCATAAGTAGTAATGACAACATCAAATTCAGCAAGTTTGTTGATATCCTTAATACGGCCAGATCCATGGTAAATGTAATACTTCAAGGTACCTGGCTTGACATGCTGTTTGATCTGATCTTCCCAATTTGTGATTGTACTCAGGGGTGACACAAGCAATGTTGTCTTGCAATTCCGGACCAAAGGAGTCTGCTCAATTTTTGGTAAAGCTTTCTTTCCCCTTTTAGCAGCGCAAAGTTCTCTGTCATCCCTCTCCGCCCGGGGGTCCATGCTAGCCCATCGCGAGGCTTCGGTGTCGAGTGTTTGCGTGACTAGCGATAGAATGCTCAAAGTTTTGCCAAGTCCCATCATATCAGCAAGAATTCCACCGAAAACTTGAGGAGGGCTTTCCCGCATTTCTTGACCAGTAATCACGTTGATGTAACGCGTAGCGCCGCCAACAACGTTTCGTCGCCAAAGAGAGCTGTTTCCCTTCTCGTCGTTTGAAAACACACGCTCTTTTTCCTTGGAGATCATGAAGGAAAGGCCCTGTTTTTGATGTTTAAGAAGTTCTGTAGTAATCCGGTGGTTGGGTTCCATTTCTGGTAAGTTTTCGGACTGCTCCAGGGAGTCAAACATGCCTAGAACATCATTGCGAATTTCTTCTGTCGTACGCATTGGACCCTGTGATTGATGGCCGTAAGATGATGTTAGTCTTGGTGCAACTTGGACAGGCTTCTCTATAACATGTGGGTTGTATAATTCGGTTCCTGCTTCGACAAATAAAGGCGTCCGTAGCCAAAGTTGCTTTTGTGCAAGGTGACGACCGATCTGAATGGCATGTTTCTTTGGGCCATAAATGTTCAAGTCCAGACCATATCTCTGGGAGGTTTTTGCCCCTGGCGGTAGGTCATCCGGTCTTTTGAGGCGAGTGAGAATCCGGGAGGCGGTTCGAATATTGAATTTGGCATCCAATAGAGGACACAAACCAATAGCAGTGTTGACATCGATACAACCGATAACTTCGCGTGTTCCGTCTCTTGCATATATTTGAGTGCTCCTTTCTCCCTGGGTTCGGCGCAACTGAATTTTGACTTGAGGCCAAAAGCCCTTGGATACTGAGATGGTCCCAGGTTTCGAAGTTGGAACTTGATGTGCATTGAGCTCGACTCCTTCAATACGGCCATAACATACCTCCACGTCTCCCGGGTCGGCCATAATTTGGACGTCGTCGTCGTCGTCGATTGAAATGTCCACAACTTTTCCGTTAGAGGTCGCTTGTTGTGCGCCTTCTTTTCTCTTCTCGTTTACGTATTGACCCAGCACTCCACTCTTTCCATGGCCATTAAATTGGGCTTTTTTGCCGCCATCTTCTCTTGGATCATCTACCTTCTTTCGCTTCTGCGGTACCATACTCCGGTCTGCAACATTATGCACACGCTCGAGCATTTGTCCCACAGATCCCATTGCACCATTTCCATTTGGAAGAGAAGTGAATTGGTCTTGTCCATTTGTATTGCTGCCGTTTCCGTAATACATGGGCGTAGATGGGTGCGCGTGCGATATTTCTTGTTGTCCGCCTGCAGTTGTATCAAACTGAAAGTCAAGCTGAGTCGCAGAAGTAAAGTTGCTGGTGTTGGTATTTTGGTTGGAGTAGTCCTCTCGGGAGGCTTGCTGGGGCGCTCGCGGGTTTAATAACTGGTTTGGGTTCCATTGTGGTCCATTTGACGGAAATGCAGGAACGCCATTCGCAGTGAGAGGTACGTTCGGTCGTCGAGAATTTGTCCAAGCACCATTTAGGGGTTGTTGGTTCTGGGGGGTCGAAAGGAAGGCTTGTTGGGACGGATAGGCATATTGGGCATTGCTCCCAGCGTTCGAGCCTGGCCGCGAGGGCATTGGTTTCGAGGGCGTACCGTTTCCCTGCATCCAGTCTGCCATTTCGTGATGGTTGCGCGCATGCAGATGTTGTGTACAGTTGCGCCGTTTGACCTCAGGAAGGCTACAAAGGCTTTGCGACGAGGTCACGGACGGGCCATGTGGACGATCCTGACGGGCGAAGCGGAGAAGCGATGGCAGCGGATTATGGGTGAATGATTCGAAGATGAGGAAGAAGACCGGCGTTTGCTCAGCTCTGGCCGTCGTCGTTGGCCCCGTCTGTTGGCACTTGTATTGAGGCGAAGACGAAATCCAGACGGCTACGCAAAAGTGATGTAAGCGTACCCAAAAGGCAAGTGAGGGCGAGGGGTACAGCTTGTGACTGGCAAAAGCGGCACGAGCGGTAATCAGACAATACTTCGGTCACCAACTTCGATATTCTAATTTTTAAAGGGATATACGTGGTTTCTTCAAAGCCATATGTGTCTACAAAAAGGAAATGTATCATGTTGAAGATTTAGGTTAACCTTCGAAACTCTAAGAGAGATCTGGGGAATTTCCATACATGGACGTTGAGAGCCGCAACAAAGATCGTGATCCGGTAGCGAGAGTCCGCTTTATTGATCATAAACTCTCAACCCCTCACCTAAATTGAGAAGGTAGAGTAAATTCCTTCCGAATAAGCACATTGTACGATAGCCTGAATACTACTTCTAAAGGGCCACGGGAGAGGAGATAGCACTCAAAATTGACTTGGCTGTACTGTACAAACCCTTGGAAGGTACAAGTACTTTGCGTTCTAGATTTGTCCGAAAACTTCTAGAGCAACAAATGCACAATAGATTAGTAAATTGGAAGATCTGTGACGACTATCTAAGATCATTTCTTCAATTTCCGGTTGGAGACGAGAATAAAAAGGGAGAACTGTTTCTACAAGTACCTGCCGTTCGTCATCCACGATTTCTACCGCCCTTGGGAAGGGCTTTGGGGGCCGGTGGGGGCAGGAATAAATAACCGAGTGTGAAAAGCCAGTAACAATTATCACGCATCAAACCCCATAATGTCACAAAAAGCAAATTCTGTTCTCATCTTTCCCATCGCAACTTTACATGCCCCAAAAATGCAAGTTGTACCTGAAAACGCCTAGAACGTCCCCAACCCAAATTCGGCCATTCATTCCAATCATATTATACACCAAAGGATCTGCCAGCTTTGGTTCCCAATCTAAATTAACACCAGGTAAAAACGGGATTCTTGCTTTTCACAGTTTCTAATCTTTCCACAATCACCTTCCGGTGGTTCCCATCCATTCCTTCCGCCGCGGCGAAGCCCAAATCTCCGTCCGTATCATCACCGTCATACATAAGTGGGAGACCACGAGTCTTGAGGTTGAATGAAAACCGACGACCCTCTCGTCTTGAAGCGTGGGGCATAGGCCGGGAAGGTCCATCGTAGCTCATACGAGCTCGAGAGTGACCAAGATCCGGTCGATCAGAAAACTTGACCTGGTTCTTGAAAGCCTCTCGAGCACTCATTTTCGTATCAAGTTGCGACTCTGGCGACTGAATGCCAGAAAACTCTTCACTTTCACGAGGGCTGACCAATTCGAAACGGTTCGGATTTGGAAGTTCCGCTGAAGGGGATGACGGACCTAAAAGGTCTGGTTGTGGAGCCGAAGCCGAAGCGTTGGCTGTACTAATATCCATCTCCTCTTCGTGCAGGTTCCTTTGGAATTCAAAATCGTTCCGCCTACGCATTTCTGCAGACGGTACTCGCATCGGTACTGCCACGGGAATATCAACCAAATCGTCCCAAACACAAACACGAGCTCTTCGTGTCAATTCCAGAGGCCCGTGGTCAACCAACTTGAGGGTCTCGACTACGTTCCAAGCCTGTCCTTTCATGACTGCAATTTGCCTTGCAAACATGCGTTCTTGGAAATCCGCGTCCTGACTGAAAATCTTTCTCAATTCTAACTGAGTTTCGCTCCACCATTGTTTGGATGTAAGAAGCGGCAAAAAGTGATCTCTAGTCTTTTGTGAGAATGGTTGTCCAATGAGGGAAACGGGGAGGAAGAGCCAGCCAAATGGGAAACTTCGCCATGCGTCTGGGTGCTTCCATGGCCACGATAAACTGTTGTCGATCGCCCCAATTGACATGGTAGGTCCTGCAAGATGAGGATTCGGCGTTGTTGATCTACTAATAGCCTCCATGGGTAGTTGAGCTCTGTAGGGCCGGTTTTCAGGGCTATCCGAGGTTGACACTAATCGCGGCGGAGAATCTTCAGGTGCACCATTCATTTTCAATGGTTCCGACACAATAGAAACGTCTTGATTTTCGTAGTCCACCTTGATCATCCAATTATCCAACCCTCTATCCGTATTCCTCATAATGTAGTCCAGAATGACGAGCTTCTCAAGCTCTTCCCGAAATGATTGTTGTAATGTTTCTGTCCATACGAACCGTCTATTTTCCCCTTCTGTAGGTGCCATCGGGGTTTGTTCCTCTTCATCATCGTCATCGTCGCGAGAGCCATTTGGTCGGCATGTCTCTCTCCAAGCTTTGCTCTTTCTATGGGTGTCGCTAGGCCTGTATGATCCAGCCACTCGGTCTGGCCAAGGGTGCTCTCGCAGAAAGATATTTGCATCCTTAAAGCCTTTGAGGAAAACTTGAAAGCTACCGACTTTGGGTGGATATGCCTTTTTCCTTCTATAAAAATTCCTTCTCGCCCAGAAGTCATAGTGAAATGATTTCGAGGAGAGATGGACAATGTCTGTATAAGGAACCAAGTTGGTCCGTAATCTACAATCCAGAGTGTATGCTGCCGCCTCGGAGACGTAGCTGAGATTGGGAATAAGACACGCGCGTCCAAAAAAGCAAGGGAAGAGATTTCGGTGTATCCATTTGTTCCATTTCGGATTTCCTGCGGCGTAGGGCTCCTCGTCCTTGGGCTTGAAGACTCCCACTACCTTTCCCTCAGTATTCCTCGCAAAGTAACTGCCAGAGCTGCCTTGTGTAATCATCTTTGGATGCATTCCTTGCTCAATGGCCACTCTGACACTCTCAACGATTTCATCGAATTCGGCCTTTGTCATTCGTCCTTGATCGGATTCTGAAGCCAGCGTTTCCGCGGTCGCTGGTCGTACACCTTCGGGCGCTTGGAACACTGAATGGTGGATCTCTAACCTCTCCTCTTCGTCCGTTTTCCCCTTCACTTTATGAATCTTGAATTTTGAGGCGATTTCGTCTGCCCATCGTTCCAGCCTGGCATTTATTGCCTTAATGTCCACCCCTGAGACCGAACTATTGCTTCCCATCCGCCTTCTATGCCGTGGTCTGCGGGTGTTCGTTGGAGATGTGTTTCCATCGGACACCATACCACCATGGGCGCGAGGTTGGGTAATGGGGGCATATCTTGGAGCATCAGCTGGCTGGAGGGAAGCGTAGCTCTGGGCAAGATGGTCATTGTCCGAATCGGAATCTTCTGCCTGAGCTATGCGAGCATAGCCCGTTGTTGGAGGCCTCGTTTTAGGCATATTGTCTGTGAATTTAGCTCGCAGGGAGCATGGCGGCGGAAGGATTGTGGTGTATATGTAGATGGGGAGGAAGTCAGATTGAGTTGTGTTGCCACGATTCCAGAATCAAGGAATAGCAAGGTACAGGTCCCACGAGGTCCGTCACGATTTCGCTTCGGGTCGCGTTACTCGTACAGCGTTACAGCGTTACAGGAGCGACAGGCATCAGCAACAAAATACCACCGGACCTGCACCATCAGATTGTGCCACAACTCCACACCACGAAGTTCTACTTTGGCTGATCAGGTCTTTAGCAGGTTTACATAATACCCCTATCCACGGTTCTGAGGAGCATATCTGTCCAGAAGAAATTGTCTGAATGTTGTTGCCGCTTTTATATAAGTAGCCGCAGGTGTAGTCAATACCTACGAGTAACCTGGTCGGGTACCTGTACTCCCGTCGTACCAGGTAGTACAAACACGTGAAAGCCGGTGGTCACCTTAATGGTCCCTCTTTAGTGGGGCAAGGAGCAAGCTAGAATCTGGGGAAGCAAAAATATTATTTTCTCCGTTGAGACCAAGCTCAAGTCCAAGCCAACAACACATCGACCACCATCACTCACCACAACCATGTTTGCGGTTCCCGGTTGGTCAGTCGAGTCCAGAACTCTCAAAACACAAACAGTAGGTTCAATCCCCGCAAAAACCACTTCTGCAGCCACAGACGACAATGAAGAAGGCAGCAAGAAAGCCAACAAGAAGCGCAAGCGGGGAAAACACGCCGACGATGTCAATTCTTCCAATGTCGCAGAATTATACGAGACCGTGATCGAGGGTAGGCCCAAGGTTGATAACTCGGGTGAAAAGCGACAGAAGATTTCCAAAGATGGTGCTGCCGAGGAGACCGAAGCCGTCGTGCCCAAAGTTAAGGGTGTAAAGCAAGAGAAGAAGAAGAAGGAAAAGACATTGAAGGATAAGAAACGGGAGAAGAAATTACGAGAGCAATCCGGAGAAACGCCTGTCGACAAGACCAAGCCCGCAGAATCGAAGAAGGCAGCAAAAGAAGTACCAGTGGCTGCACCCGCTCCAACACTGACACCTCTCCAAGCATCTATGCGCCAGAAACTCATATCAGCTCGATTCCGCCATTTGAACCAAACTCTGTATACCACTCCATCCGCACACTCCCTCTCCCTCTTTTCAGAGAACCCGGAAATGTTTACCGAGTACCACGAAGGCTTTCGCCGACAAGTAGAGGTCTGGCCCGAGAATCCTGTGGACGGTTATATTCGCATAATCAAGGCACGAGGCAAAGTCCGAGGACCAGTTCGGAAAGGTGAAGCAGAGGTAGCACCAGCAGCAGTCACATTACCTCGAACTGAAGGAACATGTCACATTGCCGATTTAGGATGTGGAGATGCTGCACTATCGGCGGCTTTACAGAAGGATTGCAAGAAGCTCGGGCTCAAAATTCATAGCTTTGACCTTTATTCTCCCCATCCTCTGGTTACGAAAGCAGATATCGCGGATCTTCCTCTCAAAGATGGTAGTGTCGATATTGCAATCTTCTGCCTTGCCCTCATGGGTACAAACTGGATTGATTTTATCGAAGAAGCCTTCCGAATTCTGCGATGGAAAGGAGAGCTCTGGATTGCTGAAATCAAATCTCGTTTTGGTCGTGTTGGGAAGGGAGGGCGAGTAGAACACAGCGTAGGAAATCGGCAGCGCAAGCTGCAGTCTCCTTCTAAAAAAGAGAAGCAAAAGGCCGAGGATGAAGCAGCAAAAGGACATGACACAGCCCTGATGGTAGAAGTGGATGGAAACGATGACATGAAAGTGGAAACGGACGTCAGTGCATTTGTCGAAGTCCTACGTAAGCGAGGATTTCTGCTGAAGGGGGAGGATGCGAGGGGTGAGAAACCGATTGATTTAAGCAACAAGATGTTTGTGCGTATGCATTTTGTCAAGAGTCAGACTCCATTGAAGGGCAAGTGTGTACCAGTTCCCGAGGGTATGAGTGAGATGGGACTGGAAACTTGGAAGAGTAAGAAACCAAAGAAGTTTCTCGAGGCTGAGGGCGACAAGGGCGATGTACCGATTTCTAGCGAAGCAGCTGTTTTGAAGCCTTGTGTTTATAAGCTGAGATGAGAAGTATCGTTCGCTCTCTAGCTAGCAGTTAATATTGTACAAACGAATTTCGCACAATAGAAACCATTTTCTAAGGGTTGTTTGAACGAAGCCGAGAAAATGAAAAGAGTTGTTTGACGCGGCTAGAATAGCCAAGGATACGAGACTGGGACGGCGCGCGGGGGTTGTGAAGAAAGGTGCAAATCTTCTAGAAAGGGTTGTTATAAAGGAGCTTTGCAAGGATTTTATTCCAAGTAGTCACTTCAATATACTCGCGATGGAGATTGGGTTTGGAAGGTGTCTGTAGTAGCAAAATTCGTTCAATTACTCCCTCCGATTCTTCTTCGTGTCTTCCAAGACGTTTCTAGCCCCGACGAGGAGTATTCGCATTTTTCCCTCAGTTCCTGCGCTCGGGTCTAGTTTGTAAGGTATGAGCGTGCATGGAAGCTGAGCTGAGCTGGTGAGGTTCGAGACATGGTTTATAGCTTTGTACTCGTACTAGAAGCCTCATGTTTCGAACTTCCCGCCTCAAGGCGTTTTTATATAAGCTTAACCCAATGCTTTCCTCAATTAGTGGAGAGCGGATGGAAATCCAGGCTTAATCATGAGTTTTGCAACAATCATTGTCTGGGAAAGCTGAGATCCATGATCGTCATGACGTATGTGTTCCAATTACCGAGGTCAGTCGCGCTACCCTTTAAAAGTCGCGTCTTCCCACGACAGCTTTTTTCCATATAATACACTTCACCATAACAAAATCACGACTTGACAAAGATCAAATATGGTTACCTTGCGAGATGGAAAGCGTGTCGGCGGTGAAGGCACATCATCTGTTGAGCCTCCGAAGAAGAAGATCAAAGCTACGATTTCATCCACCAAAGCCAGTACATCTGCGAAGCCAGCGGTCAAAGCAACGAACGGCACGAAGAAACCCAAGAATCTTTCAAAGCCCAAGGACGAAATAAACACCGAAGCAAAAGAAGCACCTCCAAAACCCGCCGCCAAATCTCCAACCCCAAACCCAGAATCCATCGAATCAGCTCCCAACGACCCATCAAAAATCAAAGACGAAGAAGCATCGAAACCCCAAACACCCACCAAGACCCCCATCCTCTACCCCCGACGCGAAACCCTACCCCTACGAGACGACACCCGGACGAGTAGGTCCGATCAGGGAAGACAATATGAGCATCGACTTCGATATCAAGCCCTTCAAAGGCCCCAAAGGCAAGAAGGTGCGCAAGGCAGCCCAAGAGAAGGACGACGAATACGATCGGCTCTGCCTCGAGACCCCGGGCCACACCTTCCACGAACTTCATGTCTGCTACGAGAAAGGACCAGGTGGCTCACCAACCTACGATAAAGCCGGTTTCGAACTGGATTACAAAAAAGTCGCCAACTGGATGCAGCCCACGCCTTACAACAAGTCCGCCATGGTCAATGGGATGAGCCGACACTTGGACCGGGTGCAGAACGAGACGGCGAGGATGGTGGAGCTGTTTATGGAGCCGGGAGCGGTGGCCCCGGATGAGCATCATGGTCTGAATACCGAGTATTGGAAGGATCGGGTGTCGAAGGATTTGGGGATCCCCTGGCATAAGATTGGGGTCCCCGAGTTTGAGAAGTGGGATAGGATGGGCTTTCCGAAGGCGAAGAGGGGAGATTATCAGGATCCGACGCCCGAGGAGAGGAGTCGGATGTTGAGAATTATGGGGGGTGCTAGCTTGCGGAAGTGAACCTGGTACTGTATGATGCTTTGGAGCTCCTTCTATGCTGGTTCGATGTACTTATTCTTCTTTGAATTAAGGTTGGGCACAGATACTGGTAGAGCCATATCATTCTATCAAGTCTAGACTTGGAGACTGGCTGTGTATGTATATATGAATAGGTTTCCTCAACAAACTTCCTCTGGATTTCCTACTACAATCCTTTCGTTAGACTAATTCCACTGAGATACACGTAGATTTACATGTAAGATTACATCCGCCAAGTATTACTAGGCAATAAACCAACCCAAACTATAATAAAAAAGTTAAGTTATTCTAACTTCTTTCTATTTCTCTCTTCTTTATATTCTATATCTAGTTAGACTCTCTCTCTCTCTCTGAACCCCCATCCCCCCTTCCCCTAAACCCTAAACCCCACTTTTTACGCGAGACTTAGGAGGTTATCGGATTCGCGTCTATCTATCTAAATCTATCCAAGATACCTCTATACGCATCCTCACGTGCCCAGTAAATTTTCTCTTAGCAGTACTCATTCCATTGTTGTATAATCCTATTCCATCATCTAATCATCCATCATCCATCACCCTATCACCCAATCCTCCCACCATCCCAAAACCAACTATCCCAAACCAAAAACCTCCCATCCAAACGCAAACCCACCCCTCACCTCTTCCACGCCATAACAATCGCCTTCCTCTCCCCAACTTCCCGTCCTAGAGCATCCTCAAGTTGCAACAGTATCCGCACCGTCCTAATGGCCAACCCCTCATAGCGGAGTGTATAACTAACGGGTGGATCTTCTCTGTCCAAAACCCCCATCCCCGTCCCCGCCCCTTGCTGAAGATCAGGAACAGGAATCTGTTCAACACCCATGACGAGACCAATATCAGATTTCGAATCACCCCAAAGAATCCTACTTTCCCTCCCCTCCACTTCCCCCTCCGCTTCCGCACCTCCAAATCCCGCCTCACCTTTTGTCTTCGCATCACCCAACCACCACCTCCAAACCCTCACCAGCCCCTCCCCAACCGGCGCCGAACACACGAACCCCCCCGATTTCGGATCGATCTTCACGAGATTCACAGAAGTAACCAACTGACTAAACAGCTCATGGGACTCGAGATGGATATCCTGACACACGAACCTCTCATGCTTATCGCTCAATCCCAATGGTTGGGGGGTAGGCCACTCGTCTCCGGCGAGGCCTGCGGGGTGTGAGGGGAGGGCTTTTCGGCGGTGGGAGAGTGGTTTGATGGGACGGAAGTAGGAGTGGAGGGTTGAGAGGTTTGCTAGTCCGCTCTCTTCGCTGGGTTTGGGTTGGTGGGTGGGTGGGTGCGTTCCGGAAGAAGAGGAAGGGGAGGAGAGAGAAAGTCCTGGGGTAGAGAGGTACTCGCAGAACAGATAGGGGGTGTAGAACTTCGCGCTGGGATGGTAGCATTCGAGGATCAGCTTGTGATTTGGATGGGCGGCCGCGTGGAGCAGGCGCGATTTGAGGATCTGGAGGATGAGGGCGTGGAAACGATGGGATGTGGAGGTGAGAGGGAGGATGGTGCGGGTGGTGAAGGTGGAGAGGATTGTGTGGAGGATCTGAGGTGGGTGTTAGGTTGTTTGGGGGAGGTGGGGTTGTGTTGGGATGGGACGTACCTCGTTGGGAAGGACATTGATTCCCATTCTAGGGGGCATTTTATTTTTTTGTTGGATGGGAAGAATGGGAAGAAATTGAAATGAAGCTTAAGAGAAGATAACTTGAGAAATTGAGCAGAGGATCGGTTTATATCTCGTCCTCTCAAATCCTTTATCAGACGATCAGACAACCTCGACGGAAACCACGCGATATCGAACCACAATGCGCGATTCCTCTTTCATCCGTCTCTATCATACCACTCCGTATACTTCCTATACTTCCTGTACCAGATGCAAGAACCCCACAGAGAAAAACCTGGCCGAAAATGTATATAAAACACGATTAGGACTTTGTGAAGATATATAAAATCCGTAGCGGTGTAGACCCCTCTAAACGATCACGAATAAAGTTTCCGAACCAAGAAGATGCCAAAGTAAATGGTAAATTGACTCGAAGTAATAATAGATTCCTGAATCGACAGACCGATGACAGGTCAGATATCCTTATTGGGGAAGCGATTCATGTGAAGGTCTGGATGAGATGAGGTATGGAAGCACAAAGAGATCCTTATCACGAAGCCACGCCACGATAAGCAAGCACCCCGCTTTCCGAAGTAATCCCGAATAAGGATCCTATTCTCATGAAAAGCAAAGATACCTGACAATCATAACATGTATGGTTTGGATTGCTTCTTTTTGATACGTGATTACCCAAGTTATCCTAAGTATTTGATTTATATAAAACATAAATGGAGTTGTATAAATCGAATAGAAGACGTCACAGTAGCCAGATTTGAAGATCTCAAATAGGTGCTCTGCTTGTTCCATGGACGTTTGGCAGTAGATAGCTTTTTGTTGTCCTAACACCCAGGTTTGATTAAGATACTTACCTACCTAGAATATATATAGTGATTCCTTTGATTCCTTTGATTCTCTAGGCCCGAAAAAATCATTTTTATAACTCTGAACATGTGAAAGAATCATAAAAAGCTCTGGAGTTTTCGAATAGTGACATTGATATTTTGCTTTCGTGATATCTGCACAAAACCTACCTATGTTTTCCAGTGACCGTGTATTCACTAACCAACTTCACATGAAGAGGCGTAAACAGATTTGATAGACATTGGCGGGTGTCATGTGAGACGAGGAGAGATTGGATTTTTCCAACAATCAAATAAGACCCTTTCGTGTAACTTGCCCAAGTAAGAAAATGCCATGTGGGTTAAAACTGGTGACATCCGTACCAATAGCACAAACAGTAAAACATGCGTCTTGGGTCTCCAAATCACGAAACCGCAAAAGCAGAAGCACCGGGAATGCAGGATGGACTATCTGGAGCATCTATTTCGTCGGGACCGTTGAACAACCACATGATCCTCTTCTGATTTGGAATTTTGGAGCTTTGCAGCGTCTGTCCCTGGACTAAAAGAGCTATGATACCCCACTCGATATCCCAAGAGCCTTGTATTGATCAGGGATCTGCACGCATCGATATTGGATGGTTCGTCGAAGCAGTGATGGTGGCGGTAGCCTCATCAGGTACTTTGGTCTCTCATCCTGATCCGGTCAAGCCGTTTGTTTGTACCAGATACCCGCGTGTAGGTAGTATCATGCTGCCGTAGGAAAGTCGCAGGTACTCCAACAAAGTCGTGCTCCGATGGCACAATGCGGACACCCCACGCGGCGACCAGATGCTGGTCCATAAGCTCTTACTCTTATGGTTGTGGCCGTCTGGGATGACGAAGTGCTCTGATTTCGTTCCTTTCGGCGCCGTCCTTCTCCCATGGCTTCTCCCAAGGCGAGACAGCATGAGAAGTGCAGATGGATGCCAATACTTCTTTTCCTTTTGCGGTATAGAGAAGGCGCTCTGCCATTGCTGGTGAGAGCGGCCTCTACGTGGTGCAGTATGGTACCCTCATGGCAGTGGTGTTGGTGTGGTGTTCGGATCCAAGGCAAAGGCGCGGCGCGGGATCGGTGTATCGTATACGACGTAGGTACCGAGGGGTAGGATGAGCTGAGGATATTCCGAGATGCGATGCGATGCCCCTCAATGTTGGTGGACCGCCGAAACGCGAATATGCAACCATGGGGAAGTTTGTAGAGGAGACGAAGGCTGAGGATGGAAGCTGGTAGAAGATGATTACTGATGCACCACTGGGCTGCCACTGCCACTGCCACTGCCACTTCCACTGCCAATGCCTATACCCATTACAATATCGTCGCTCTTTTTAGCCTTCAGCTGAAGCTTCCTTGGATTTGGGCAGCAAGAGCGAGCGGTAGCAGCAAGCACACACACCCGCACCTGCAACCCGTGTCAGCGTCAACATCAACGTACCCGTAGCCTCGTCATATCCTGGAGGCCTGACCGGCGCCTTGTTGATTGCTTGTGCTTGATTGCTTCCTCCCGCACATCCAAATACTGGCAGACGCAAGCCCTCCATACCTCCACACCATCAACATAACGAAGCAATCACTTTGGTCTTGAGCGACCCATCTACTTACCTACCTCCCCAACCTCCATCTCCACTTCCACTTCCACCTCCCCTCGCCTCCACTACCTCTCCCGCCTTTTCGTCCGTTCTCTCAAAACACCACCCCTCTCCCCACCCCCCCCATCGTCAACAACGTCACCTTCCAAACACCACCAATCTTCCCCACTGCCAGGTTTCTCTCCTCAATTTTCTGCAGAGAAATAATCTTCGCTCAAGGACGCAAAGTGATCTTGCTCACTACCATATCCTTTCCCATAGTCACCTTGGATTGCATTCAAGATGTTGGTACCAATGTACATTTCTCCTCTCCTGCCTATACTAACCACCTTTTGGCAGGCGCATTACTATAAATATATCCTCGTCCACCAGCGATGACTCGGATCTCCTGAACCTCGAGATATTCCCTGATACTACTGTCAGCACTCTAAAAGATTCCGTACACGTCGAGCAGAAAATTCCGCCAGCTTCCCAACACATATATCATAATGGTCAACTACTCACGGATGATGCCAAAACAATGGAGCAACTGCAGGTTGTTGATGGAGATATGTTGGCGCTGCACGTCCGCACTCAACCCACCCCCCGGCCTCAGCAAGCACGCCAGCAAGCACCTCAGCGCAATGCAGGTCCAGACCCAGAAACTATTCGACTACAACTTCTAGGGAACCCTCGCGCAAGACAGCAAGCGGCGGCTCAAAGTCCCGAGCTGGTGGCAGCATTGGAAAATCCCGAGAGATTCGCTCAAGTTCTCCGCCAATTGCAGGATAAGGAGCGTCAGGATGCAGAAGAACGACGACGTTATATTGAGAGCTTAAACGCCGATCCATTCGATATCGATGCTCAGACAAAGATTGCCGAAATGATCCGGGAGGAACGTGTTCAAGAGAATTTACAAAATGCCATGGAGCATAATCCTGAGGGTACGTGATGTGGCTCGCTAATGTTTTCAATGCTGACTACAAACTAGTCTTCGGCAATGTCCAGATGCTTTACATTGATGTGGAAGTCAATGGCCATAAGGTAAAGGCTTTTGTCGATTCCGGGGCACAAGCAACAATTATGTCTCCATCGTGTGCAGAGACCTGCGGTATTATGCGTTTGGTAGATAAACGCTTTGCTGGTATTGCCAAAGGAGTTGGAACAGCTGCCATTCTCGGACGAGTACATTCCGCACAGATCAAGATTGGTACTCTATATCTACCTTGCAGTTTTACAGTCATGGAAGGCAAAGACGTTGATTTGCTTTTGGGGTTGGATATGCTCAAACGCCACCAAGCTTGTATAGATTTGACAAAAGACAAGCTTGTTATCCAAGGTATCGAGGTTCCTTTTCTTGGAGAAGCCGATATTCCAAAGAATGTCGAAGAAGTCAGATCCGATGAACCAAAGGTGCCAGGTCCAGGTGGAACTGCAATTGGAGCTCGGTCAGGCGCCATTACCGGGCCATCTGAACAAACAGCTCCTTCGGGAAGCGCGTCAGGCCCATCATCATCACAACCGCAATCACAACAGCCCTCTTTCTCTGCCGAGAAAATCGATCAACTTGTCGCCTTGGGGTTCTCGAAAGAGGCATCTATCAATGCTCTTGCCGCTTGTGGGGGCAACGTAGAATATGCTGCCGGTCTGTTGTATGAAGGTTAATAGGTCAGGCATAGCAGAGAAAGGATGGGGCATCTGGGGCCATATCATGACATGAGGAAACTTGTGACTGTTTTAGCGTCACCATTTCCAGGAAGAATAATGTGAGCTGGAGTTCCCCATCTCCTTTTCTTCCGACTTCCAGATACGTGCAGAAGATCTATCCGAACCGATCTTGGGGCAGTTTGGTATTTGCTTGGTGACATTTTTCATATGGCTAGCTAGGCGTACGGCAGACTAGGATGGGAAGGTGGGCATTATGGATGGATGGGGGGCTTGGCTTGGGCTTCAGGTAAAAGGCCACCCACCCTTTGGGTGTGTAGGTAGATATTGAATCAAAATTATTACCATTTTCTTTTTCATAGCTCTTGAATCTTTGACGTTCTTTTTGAGGGCTATTCTGCTCATGTCAAGCAAGGATTAGGTAAGTATGGAGATCTTGAGAGAAGCTAGTTAGGCACGGTAGAAAGAACGCACTTGATCGAACAGAGCCAGTATATTATAACTAATTTTAATTAATAATCTATACTTTTTACTTTCTAGATATTATATATGAATAGTTGAAGTTAAAGTTTAAGTTTGTGTTTGAAGTATAGTTTGGGTTGGGGTAGAGTGACTAGTTAGTTATTAGTTAGTTATACCCTCGCTATCGGTTTTACGTTATATGGTATTACGCTATTATGCGTAAGGTTGTTATTATATATACCCCTTATTTTACTGTACCCTAGGTACTTTGGTTTGGTCTAGTCTATTTTTCTTTTATTGTAGATAGGTATAGTATAGTATAGTACAGTACTTGTCTTATATACTACTGTACCGTCTGCTAGCCCTTGGGTATTTTTTTGTTATTTTATGTCGTTTTTAGGTACTGTTACTGTCGGGTTTGTTTGGGAAGATGTAAGAAGAAAGGATGGATGGAGGATAGGTGGGTGGGAAAGAATTAGGGGGAAGGGGAGGTAGCAAGGTTTGTGATTTTGGGGAAGGGGTTAGGTAGGTACATACCTAGTAGGGGTATAGATATTATACGAAATTACGAATAGAAGTAAGATTACTTTACTCGTAGCGAGTATATAGAGATATAGTGATACGAGTTCGTTAGCTTACCTTGGTGAGTTGGTGATTTGATAATATAATGTGAGAGGCCAGACCTCGAATAGCTCAAAGGTGTGGTTTCGAATATTCAATTAAGAAGTGCGTGAAGACTACATACATGCAATCTCTTCCTCTATATATAGAGAGAGGAAGAGTTTCTGGAGTCTTCCAAGAAACTGTTTGACAAATACGTGACGTCAAAAGAATAGAGTAGAAAAGTGTAGAAAAGGAGAAACCAATTTAGCAGTGGAGCAATGGCCAATGCTGAGCGGGGACTTTGGTCAGTGCTTAGCGAAGGCATGGCCGGAGCCTCCATCATGGGTTCCAACCCTCACATATAATATAGTAAGGAAGGATATAGTAGTCTTGGGGGCGTGGGTAACGTTTAGTATCTGGAATTCCTTTCCATTCCTTTTAGGATTTAGCTAGAAATATTCCATTCTAGAGGCTTATATTCCATAGAACTTATAGAATTTATTATATAACTAGGAAAAAGTCGCCCTAATCTAGGTAACTAATAGGAAGCTTTTATTTAGCTTCACTCGTAGAGTCTATATTAGACTCCGTAGGTAGTATGAGGTTCTATTAAAATTTTACGTAAATATACTACGTATAACTTATCGTACTATAGAGAATCTCTATATAGGTGGTCCCTGTTTACTTAAATCTAATAATAGATATATCTATACTATTCACTTAAGAACTAGTCCTAAATACTATATTTTGATTAGTCAGAAAATCCTCTGGAATTCTATGGAACTCCTATAATTCTAGAGACTAATGTCACGAATCACGTGTTAGCATGTGACGAGTGAAGACCAGGCGGCGTCCTGACAGGTTAAGCACTATCATGCTCTTATAGCGAATAGGGATCGGCTAGACTAGCTAAGCGATCCAAGGATTTCATTATAGTCACGTGACGGATCTTTGGATCTGGATGGATCTTGGGGATCCTAGGATCCAACCAGATCCATGAGCAAGAAGGTTCTATATAACACTGGCATGTCTGCCATTAGATAGGAGCTTCGTGCTCAACTTAGTTATCAATCTTATCATATTAGTTTGACATCTTTGATACAAGTAACGAGTTCACTTCCAAGTGAACAACCCGATAGTCTTCTTCTTATCATAGCATACCAACCAGCGAACACCCAGCCAAGTTTAGTTAGCCAGTTTGAGTATTCGTTACAACTAATCGATAGAAGTATTCTATTCTATTTTGTAGGTGCTCTGGAAGTATTCTATATAGAATATTCTACCTGGAATTCTATGGAATATGGTTCTATTTGCCGAACGTTGGGCGTGGGTAGCAGGTAGGGTAAGGGGGCGGGGGGTAGGTAATGGTAATAGGGATAAGACGGGGAATAGCGAGGGGTGGGTGGAATAGGATCGTAATAGGTTAGATGGATAGCTTTAACTCCATGGTCTAGAGGAAAGAGTTCTATTTAGGATTACTCGTATAATAAGTAAAGAGTGTAGATAGATTTAAGTTATTTATTATTAGTTATATAGAAGTATATTAGCCCTATTCGATGAAGTTGGTTCCGTGATTAGGTCGCTTGGTTTTGAGTTTTATCTTTTAGGTTAACTTTTAACGTTATAGAATTCTGGGATAAAAATAAAGAGATGGGGATCTATGGTGTTCGATGTGGTTGCTGAATCGCGGATCTCGTATCCTGAGCATGGATAGGTTGGGTTGGGTGTCTGTTGATGTCTAGAGGGGATACGAAGTATTTAGGCTGAATTCGACGGAAGGATAGGAAAGAGAGTTTGTGCGGGTCTGTTTATGGGGGGGAACTACGCCTTGGTTTGAGGAGTCGTGGGAAAATTTTGGGATGGGGTAGGAGATATCATTGTTGCTGGGTATTTTTTTAAGGTTGGGGGGTTCGTATAAAGTTGTTGGGCTATATATAGTATGACAGCTCAATTTTGTGTTTAGGGGTAAGATTACCGAGGAAAGTCAGTTGACGAAGGTCTTATGCGAAAGGTTCTGCGCAAATAGACTACTTGTGTAGGAAAATGAATGTTACTGTTAAATTATTATGCGAGAGATGGATTTTTGTAGTGTTTTGGCTTGTGCGATTTTGATGGTGAGTGGTATTGAAGATACGGAAATAAATGGTTTACTCTCTCGACGAGAACCAAAGAACGTTGCGTTACTGTAATATCTCACATTGCCAAAAACCCACGGGGTACTTAATACTTATAATACCGTCCTAGGATCCTCCAATTATCGCACCAGTAAGAGAAGCTGCATAGTGACGAAGCTTTTGTGGATGCCAGACATTATTGCCAATTCCAGCGGACATTTCATATCCGCGTCCAGGTTCCCCACCTAGTCGTCCCATTTCAAGACCATACCACCAATCCACGTGATGGATTGCGTCTGCAAAAGGATGGGTTGCCGAGATGCGAACCATGCAAGATCTATCTCAAACAGATTTAACTGGGGCCAATCTCCCCCTCTTCTTTCAAACCCGGTCCACCACGCGAGCAGCCGATTCTGGAAAAGTCTTTCCATCCACTCCGAGTCTTGATTGTGAGGTTGTGTGTCAAGGGTGACGAATCTTGTTCGGAATGCTTGTTTCTATTTAAGCAATATACAGTCATGGGTGGCAAGTATAAGTCTGTTGGTCTTTCTCGACTTTGGGAGTTTCTCTTTTCCTTCAGCTCACTGCAGTTGTTCATTCGCTTTGCTCTGCTCTGCTCTTATCTGCTCGTCTCCAGTCTTGACTAATTCCTGTATATAATATTTACGAACCTCCTTTTAAATATGAAGTTCACCACATCCCTCGTCTCGGCCGCCTTGGCTATCACAGCCATGGCAAGCCCAACTCCCGTTGCAGTTGGGAAACGGGACCAAACGCTGTGTGGAAGCTTTGGATCGATAGCTACGGCAGGAGTAGTGATATACCACAACAACTGGGGAGCAGGTCAAGCATCATCAGGAAGCCAATGCACGACTTTCACCTCCGTTAGCAGTGCGAAATCCTTCGTTTGGTCGACCAGTTGGTCGTGGGCTGGTGGACAAGGTCAAGTGAAGTCTTACTCCAATGTTGCACTTGAGAAGGTCAACAAGAAGATTTCGGAAATCTCATCGATTCCTTCAACTTGGACTTGGAGGTAAGGATTATATCCCCCCTTTTCCAAACTACTCCACACCGAATTTCTGATATTAATTGTAATGTAGATACACTGGCGACAACATGGTCGCAGACGTCTCCTACGACCTCTGGCTCGCTCCCTCCGTCGGCGCCAACAACCAATACGAAATCATGGTCTGGCTCGGAAGCTACGGCGGCGCGGGACCCATCTCCTCAACCGGATCCACGATCGCGACACCTACCATTGCTGGTACGAAATGGAACCTGTTCAAGGGTCCCAATGGAGACACCACTGTTTTCTCCTTCGTTGCGCCAAGCAACATTGGGAATTTCCAGGCTGATCTCAAATTATTCTTTAACTACTTGACGAGTAGCCAGGGAGTGAGCACCAATTCCGTGGTTACTAGTTTGCAAGCTGGGACGGAGCCTTTCTCTGGTATGTTATTTTCATGATTTCTTTTGTCCTTGTGGTGAAGGATGGATGCTAATTTTGTTTTTCTAGGCTCTAATGCTGTCTTCAAGACTTCGGCATATACTATCAGTGTGAAATAAGGGATTGAAGCTGAGGATTCACGGATCTGTTGGTAGCGACTACCACGTAGCAAGTCGAGTACTTCATTTGTATATATTATATGTCCCGACGATGTAAATAGGCTGGATTCAACCAACCGGCCAAACTATTTCCCGGCCCGTGTGAATTGTATTAACATATACGTTTAATACGACGATGTGGCTCGGATGTCCTATCCTATCTATGTCCTATCGCTTCCAGGTGCTATAATAATACCAGAAAAGCCGTGCACTCCTAAGTGAGGTTAAGCTCTTTACTTCCTTGAAGTTTTCTCTATCCCCTCATCGTACCATATCGTATATACATTGAAAACAAAGAAGTTTAGAAATCAGGTCGAGTTTTCAAGCATTCTAGCTTTAATTTAACTCTTTCTACGTATCTCTACTCTAGGTATACGTTTTTTTAGCCCTTTTATTACATAGATAAAATAGAATAACGTAATATGTAATAAGGAAGAAATAGAACTATAATATTGAATTTTAATTAGTAAGATAAAACTAAGGAAATAGTTAATAGTAGTAATCACACATTATGGACCAATCAGAAGGCTCCATTTGGTGTAGCAAAAAGAAGTATCAGCATCCTAGGCCTCGCTACCTGTAAAGGTGCATAACTAACTAAAGGCGAGACTTAGCTCGAGGGGTATGTGGGCGGGTCAAAAGAGCCAATAATCGTGCTATGTGGAACGATAAATGTGGTGTTATTGATGGAGGAGTATACTCGTATGTGGGATATTTATCCCACCGAGTTGCTTAGTAAGCACTCCCTCATCCACAATAAACCACTGCTATATAATTATATTAAATTCTAATATAAGTAAAGATAATTATTCAATGGGGTTCTAGTTACTTCCTTAAAGAACTAGAAATAGTATCTTATTTACTAAATAATATCCCTTACTTCCTAATACCTTTCTACTAGTAGGTAAAACGTTCTAATTAAGTTTAGCCTTAGTACTCTCGCTGAGTATTTAGTATCTCCCCTCCTTTCCTCTCCTAATCGCTAGGAAAGGAGCAGGAGTTCTATATCTTTAGCTAGAAAAAGTAGAGGAGAATAAGTTGCTTATCTAGAAAGGAGTAAATAAGGAGAGTGTCACGAATCACGTGTGAGCATGTGACGAGTGAAGACCAGGCGGCGCCCTGACAGGTTAAGCACTATCATATCTCTTATAGCAAATAGGGATGCTTAGGCTAGCTAAGCAATCCAGGGATTTCTTTTGGTTAGAATATCACGTTGTAACGAATACTCAAACTGGCTAACTAAACTTGGCTGGGTGTTCGCTGGTTGGTGTGACAGTTTTTGATTTAGTGAATAAGGGTTCGCTTAGCGAAGTTGCGGGTGTACCCTTCCGTAGATAGACAAATACCTAAGGAGTGCGAAGAGCGTCTCTCTTCCCTCCTTGCGAACAATCTATTCCTTGATCCCCACCATAACAATAGTCTTCTTCTTATCATAGCATACCAACCAGCGAACACCCAGCCAAGTTTAGTTAGCCAATTTGAGTATTCGTTACACTACAAATACCTAAGGAGTGCGAAGAGCGTCTCTCTTCCCTCCTTGCGAACAATCTATTCCTTGATCCCCACCATAACAATAGTCTTCTTCTTATCATAGCATACCAACCAGCGAACACCCAGCCAAGTTTAGTTAGCCAATTTGAGTATTCGTTACACGTACGTACTTATAGATATCCCCTTAACCTCGTATATATGTATTTAGAGGTAGGTACTCTTAGATATCTACTTTATATCTACTTGTCGATTTAAGGAGTCTTAGGTCTTATAGTTGTTTTAACGTCTATATAAAGTTATAGAATTAACCTATAAACTCGATTTAGAATAAGATTTATAACTAATTTATAACTATTATAAATAATATCGATATATAAGTAGAACTATAATCGAGTTATAACTATTATAGATTCTATTGATAAATCGCTCTCTCCGTATACTAATACCCTAAAATAGTACCCTAAAATAGTTAGAAAAGCTAGATAAAGTCGTAGGATAGTAATCGTCGGATTCTATATATAAATTATTAGAATTATCTTTATTAAGAACTCGCTTAGATTACTTAAAAAAATCATGTCTTTTTTTCTATTATTACTACTACTACTACTATAATTCAGGGCCCTTTTAAGCTCCTATACTGTCACGAATCACGTAAGCATGTGACAAGTGAAGACCAGGCGGCGTCCTGACAGGTCGAGCACTATCATATCTCTTATAGCAAATAGGGATGCTTAGACTAGCTAAGCGATCCAGGGATTTCATTACATTGTAATCACGTGACAATTTGCATCGACAGCATCGACAGGCGATGTAGGCGACGGCGGAACATGAAGGTCCTATATAAGACTGGCACGTCTGCCATTAGATAGGAGCTTCGTGCTCAACTTAGTTATCAATCTTATCATATTAGTTTGACATCTTTGATACAAGTAACGAGTTCACTTCCAAGTGAACAACCCGATAGTCTTCTTCTTATCATAGCATACCAACCAGCGAACACCCAGCCAAGTTTAGTTAGCCAGTTTGAGTATTCGTTACATATACCTTTAAGCTTATTCCTCCTACTCCTATACCGGTGATTCTAGTAACTATTAAAATCTAACTACCCCGAAGATCTCGTGGTATTATAGAGCGTACTATAATTATAATTAAGGATCCTCTTCTAACGTTTCTCGTAATAGCTTTAGTTTAGACTTTTTAATACTAGTATACTTAAAAAAACGCTTGTTTATAGAGGTTAATCTTAAAAGTAGGTAAAAAAGCTCCCTACCTCTAAATATACATATGCGAGGTTAAGGGGATAATATATGGGTTAAATTAAGGCTTAAGACCTTAGAAAGTAGGTTTATATAGATTCAAACCTAAACACGTAAAAACATAGTAATAAAGATAAATACTAGTTACTACAATAAATCGTGTAGCGACGCGTATAAATAGAGAGAAATGTCTAGAGATTCTATTGAAATCATTACTTCTATTTTGCTTTATAAAATCGTCTCTAAATTGTAATATATACACTACTACTAGTACTATGCGTATTTGTGATCAGTATTAGCAGTATGTACACACGCGTAAAGTGCTTGGAAAGTGGATAATTTTACTCCACCAGGAAAGCACGACCGCACCCGGCACTCTCGAGTCTGGAAGGTACACTACTCTCGCTAATTAAGTCGGTAGAGGTAGAATACTACTAAACCTAACTAGGACGTCTTCTATCTACCGGTAGTGAGGTATTAGGAGTAAGGGTTATTACTGCGTAATCTATTAGTTTAACTTAACAATAGCTATATAATACGGGATATCTCTTGAGTAAATGCTTATATAATTCTGCTAAAAGAATGTAATAAAATAACAGGTAAGACTATTCGAGACAATTTAAACCGGCTTATATATCCCTAACACGTGTACAAAGCGACAATTTCCACCAAGCTTGAGGGCCATTTCATTTAAAAGTTCTCATCTCTTCTCTTGAATTGCAGCATCAAACTTTCAACATGCATGGTGAAACTTTCGTGCCACTCGTTCATGATTGCAGATCCATCCTCACCGGGCGCAAACTGGACGCTGAATTCCGAGATAATTCGTGATGTTAAATTTCGGAGTTCCATCATTGCGAATTGTCTCCCTACGCAGGCCATAGGACCTAGAGAGATAGTGTTAGTGGAGTCGAGTATGTTTAAGAAAAGGAAGTCAAACCTAAGGAGAATGCTGCGAAGGCATTTTTATTCAGCACCATTTCGGGTTTCTCGCCCCATCGTTCGGGCACAAATTCAAGGGGTTTTTCGTAGCATGATTCCACTATCTTCATTAGTCCCTAGATTCGGAATCAAGTGTAATGGAAGGCTAAACTTACATCTGCTAATAGTCCATAAACACGCGGAAACAGTGACCCCACCGGGGATGAACGTATCTCCGACGGTGATTCCTTCAGATGGAGTCTTGCGTAATATTCCACCTGGGACAGGAGGATTGAGTCGGAGAACTTCCATGATAACTCCATTCAGATATGGAGCATTGGCAAGGTCTCTGAATTCTGCATCGGTTCCGGGGTGATAGTATTGCTTGAGCTCCTGGAAAAGTTTCTCTTGGACTTCTGGGTAACGGGCGAGATAATAGAACAAATAGGAAAAGGTTATTGTTGTGGTATCAGTACCGGCTCCGATGACGAGTGTAGAATCCCCAACCAACCATCTGAGAACTTGTTAGTACCCCTCAAAATGAATGGATCCGGTGCAAGAGCTAACTTTGGATCTTTATGGATAGGGTGGCTGCCAATCTTTTCCGCTTCGAGTAGGTAGGTGAACAAATCTGGAGACTCGGGCTCGTACTACAACGGATTAGATTCAATTCGCTTCTCTTTGATCTTGGTTACATGCCGTTCTTCTCAACGCAACCTTTGCGATATTGGACCTGGCCCATACTTTGATACTTTTTGCTGCTCCCGGGATGCTGTTTAGAATTGGCAGTATCCAGGGGATTGGGCCACTCGGCTATTCTCAGTGTTAGTAGAGTTGAATTCAAATGGGCGATATAGGTGAAAGGTCTCACCCCTAAAATCACTGAGCCTTGTTGCACAATAGTAGCCATCGGATTCTAACAAAGGTTAGTGACTCTGCCAAGCGCTTCTCAGACAACGTTAGAATTGCATACCGGTTTCCCGTCTAGAAGCATATCATAGGGAGCACCAAACGCCATATCACCCATAATATCGAAGGAGTAGAAGGCGAACCAATCAGCGGCATTGATAGCCTTGCCTTTATGTGATCGAAATTGTTCAATAAGTTGATCGGCATATTTGAGCATTCTTCCTTCATATCCGCGTAAAGCTAAAAAAAGGTTACGATTCAAGGTCTGGCGCCATCTATGGGGGTACGTACATTTTGCGCTAAATGCACGATCCCACACCTTTCTTCTAATACCATGAAGCTCTTTGCTTCTCTCGTAATGGAGAGAATTTGAGCCAACTGCGATATCATCGTAGTACTCTCCCTTTGTACATTTTGATCCAGGTCCTAGAATCTTCACGAGAGCCTCGGGTGCGGAGATCGATAACTCATTAGGACCAATTCTAGTATCTTGTGTTAGATATTGGACGTCACACACGTATAAACCAGGAGAGAAAACAGTACCTGACAAACTCGCCAAACTCGCTATGAAGCTTATCACGAAATTCGAAATCCCTTGGCGCATGCTCCGCCTTCATGATATTATAGAGGTGAGCGAACTTTGTGACCTTCAAGGCTAACGGACCAGGGAAGTTTCTAAGGCGGTGGAAGAAGGTTCGGTAGATGGCCATGCTCAAACATAGAGCACCGGCGTATGAGATGACCGCCACTGACGTGGCTCTTGCTGCTTCAACAAAGGCATTTTGACCTAAGGTTCGAACGAAACCGAGGAAAATAAAGGCTGGGACAGTCAAAGCTGCGGTAACGTAGTGAGGTGCGTTTTTGTGATGCTCTCCGTCGATGAAGTATCCCAAATGCGAAGCACCTCCTAAGGCTGCACCTGCGACACCGATGACTTGTAAATCCATGATGGCAATGGAATGTTGGTATAGTCAAATTATAGCGATCATTCTCTAGAGAAGTTCTACATTTATATATCATTCTGAGAGTCAAGATTAGCAGATTTTCTATGATGTCTGATGTCCGTTAAAGCTGGATTCGGAGCTTCGACGGTACTTGGTATTGTGGATTCTCGGAAAACCGGTCGCCAAAATAGAGTACCTCTTGGAAAAGCCTTGTTTCAATCTACAGCGTTTTCCAAGGTGTAGCTAGGATCACTCGCAAGTATTCTTTATTCAAAACTGTTGATCAATTATCTCTCGGACTTTCTTTAATTTTCTAGACAGTAGTAGAGCCGTTATTGTATCGTGGTTAATCCGCTCTATGCGCATATGAAAAATGCGTAGTGAGGACAGTTGAGTAGCTTTTTGAGCTACGTACTGGTAGAGAGCAGCTCTACGGGTTCTAGAGTGGCAAAATTAGACTATGAGAAGCCATTCCTCATACCCAATCTTCTACGTATGAGAAGTACTTCTAGCCACTCAGAGTCCACGGAGTACAGATGACCCTTACGTCGCTACGTATAAGAATGCCTTCTAGCCACTCAGAGTCTACGGAGTACGGACTAGTGCTATCCACTACTCCACACTAGCATTTCACTTAGAAACAACTAACCGCTGTAAGGAAAGCTTAATGTTGGTTCAATAGACGCCTGAGAAGTCCAAGCCTCGGCTTTCAATAAAGACCGAAGGCATGGGTAACCTTCCCGCTCCACTTTTACCGTTCATCCCATAGATTTTGTACTTTATGTTTAACTATAATTTATCGTTCACGAAGTTTAGCTAACCAGCACCAATGTGAGATTATCGCCAGATATCATTTTGATTGCATTATCGTCTGCGAATATAAGGTGCAGCACAAATTCGTACAACTTAGGTACAGTAAAATCTGTAGTTGACAGAAGGTTTGCAGGTTCCCCAGCAAGTTACACGCTTCCTCCGCCGACATCCCGCAATCTCTTGTGACAAGACCCATCATCGGCTTCAGGCGTCATCAAAAATCTTTCGGCTTTGGGGATTACTCGAGTAACCTGTAGTTGACAAGGCTCCAGCACTTCGTCCGCCGGCCTGCCGTACTCGAATAGAAAGATTCATCGGCTTTAGGCGCTAGGAGATCTGTCGGCATTGATGGTTAAAATACTCCGTAAGTGCGGCAAATAGAGCATGAAGTGAATCTGGGGGAAGTAGTGGATAGTACCAAGTGCGAAACAATGGTCGTTCATACTCCGTAGTGGTTACATAGGTACTGCCTACCCTATACATTCTCCTTGATAGGTGATTTATGGCGGAACTATGAATCTTTTGTCTATGAACTTTTTTATACTTGAATTGTCTTTATTACAGGATAGTTTTGGGCCATTCATAGGTATCGCTTATAATTTGTAAAGGCAAACAATTCGGATTGAGCTCTCTTTCGACTTTTTCCTAATCGTCAGTGCGTCTTTTCACCGTCACAAGCGTAGTGAAAAGACGCACTGACTATTACTGTACCTCGAGCTTTTTTCTCCCTACCTTTTCCCTTTACGGTACTGTCTTTCCCGCCTTGCCAACGGTCCAACCCTCGTTGTTGCACTCTAATGCAAGTAGCAAGTGCACACGTGGAGCTGATGTGGATACAAGTGGATGTAATAGATAGGTTGAATTAAGGGATCATCACACTTTGCTTTTTGACTTGAGTCTTTTGACTTGGCCACTTGAGATTCTTTTTACCCCGCCGGGACGCGGAATGCTCGCAACGCAGCCACTATGTCATTCATCTCTTTGGCAGGCTTCTCGAGTGCTTGCTCACGTTGTTTCTTCTTGCCTCAAAATCGGGCGGAAGCAGCAGTGTTGCGACGACGTTTGTCCTCTTTAGCGGCCAAGTGAGATACCTCTTCGAAATCGGGTGCGGAGGGCGACGTGTAAGAAATAGAAGTAGATTTTCGCTTGGATCCTGGGGTAGGCGTGGTCGAGGTGGAAGCTGGAGACTCGACTGTTGATGATAATGGATACCTAATTTGGTTTGAGTCAATGGGCAAAGGAATAGCACTGCCTTCGGGGTAGGAAGCAGCAAATGGAATTACTAGAGAAGTTCTACCACCGATTTTGACTAGTAGTTTCGTAGACAAATCTATTTTATAAAATAGAAATAATCCGAGCAATATCTTTATGAACACTGTATAAATAATAAATGGAGACAGAGAGGCCGTGAGTATTATTAAGTGCTAGGAAAGGTTAATGTCGGTATATAATTCTGGTGAATAGCACCTTGTACGAGAGCCTGGTGGATCTATATGCTTTAGGTCATGTGAGTGGCTTGCCACTCATATACTTAAGCTTGTAGGGTACCACCTCTCTTTACCTTTACTCTTCATACACGAATGAATACAAACAGAGATTATATTTGTGTATCACCCTTTTACGACTACCAGGTCGTACCAACAGTTACTTTATAAGTTATTCTATTTTCAGCACATATTTGAGCCTAGCTCGAGCGATGTGTGACAGTCTTTGATTTAGTGAATAAGGGTTCGCTTAGCGAAGTTGCGGGTGTACCCTTCCGTAGATAGACAAATACCTAAGGAGTGCGAAGAGCGTCTCTCTTCCCTCCTTGCGAACAATCTATTCCTTGATCCCCACCATAACACGATGTTGATTATCGCGTTCTATTTAAACACCATACTATTACTAAAGGTCGATGGTAAAAGCTTTCTACTCAAGAGGTATTAAAGCTAAAAAAATTATACCAGGTTTCGTTTTAGTCTTATTCAAATTGCACTCTCGGACCACTGGGAGTGGATGTGATTGTATGGGTATAACTAGGGTATAGAGCTAGTAGGAGCAGTAAATTTTAGGCCCTGGTCTGTCAAATCTAGAGATTTCGTAGCTTCCCTTTATTCAAATCGCCCTATAGTGAGATTCCCTTAATAATCTATGTCTATTTAAGTTAGTAGGTACTTTGAAGATTCCAGCTTGGCAAAACCAGCTGAAAAAGATGACCTGACGAATCAGAAAGCGTAGATAAACGTAAAAAAGAAGGAACAGAGAAAATCATAAGTTGGGAGTATGAATTTACTTATATACTACAGTGCACCCTCAAAGCTCTTTCCACTCACATCTAATTTGTAGTAGCCGAAGAGTACAATTCGAATAAGACTAAAACGAAAACGAGTAGGGAACCCCGAATTAAGGCTCGAATGTAGAAGGAGGTAGCGACCTTAATGTTTTGGTATTCTTGCTTAGTGATCTTTCCTAAAGAGGCTAGGTTTTTCGGGGAATACTGCCGTCTTTTGATTCCTAGCCTACCTCTCTTCACAGCCTCCATCGCCCCCTTACTTCTCTTCTCTCTTACCGACAAACAACCACAATACCTAGGTAGCAAGGTCAATAGACACTATGATAGCAACCTACATATAATAGCGACATGTGTTATATGTGTATGAAGGTGCCGCGGTGTATGGACAGAAGCGAGGGGATAAGAATGAAAGACAACGAGACGACTCGATCTCGAACTAGAACTTGGCCTTTGGTCCAGTTGCTTCTCCCTGAATCGGTTGAGATTCGATATCAGGTCCTTACGTACCTCGAGAACTCTCCTAGCCACCTGGGAGCGGCCGTTTTTGCACTCCTCTACCGGTAGCGTGTACCTCGTACCTCCACAGTTAAAATGTAGTATAGATTGTTAAATAAAGTCGGATTGCTAACATTTATGACAATTTTCATGAGATGTTGATTGCTGTGTACTCGCATTGTTCTCTTTCTGGGGCGGACTCGGGATTGGCGGGTGACATCAGGGGTACAGTACTCGTAAGATCTCACTTACCCCGCCAGTGGGGGTGAAGTGCAGTGCATGGAGAACAAGAGTATCACGACGTAACAAAGCCTCGCATTCTGCATACACTCAATTGCACCCACAAAATAAAAAGCGCTGAAGCTGAACCTAATATCAAACCAACCATGTCGATACCGATAACAGTCTCGAGCTTACCCCGCATCTCCTCTGCCTCCCTCTCGGAAATCCTCCTCGCACAAGCAAACAGCAACCTCGACCTCCAAACCCCAGAAACAGATGACAAGGTAGCCATAGTAGATGTTCGCGATGACGGTACGTATCCTGCCTCCTCTCCTTTCACGGAGCAAATGCTAATAAGCCCAAGATTACATAGGAGGCCATATTCGAACCTCCCTCCACGTCCCCTCACACACCCATTCCCACGCCATCCCTGGCCTCGTCCAGAAGCTCAAAACTCGCAAAATCGTCGTCTTTCATTGTGCCCTCAGTCAGCAGCGGGGTCCACGCGCAGCGCTGGGATATGTTCGAGAAAGGGAGCGGCTGGTTGGGAAAGGCACCGTGGAACTTCTTGGTCAGAGCGGCGGTGTTACAAGTGTCGGAGAAGCTATGATGAAAGACAAGAAAGAGGAGATTGAGAGGAGGGGGAAGGGTGTGATTAAGCAAGATGGTGCGGATGGCGGAGAGGGCTGGGAGGACGTGGATCGAGAGGGAGAGGTGGTTGAGCAGGTTGAGGATGAGAAGCAGAGGGTTTATATTCTTGAGGGCGGGTTCGTGGGATGGGAGGAGAAGTTTGGGGAGGATACGAGGTTGACTGAGGGGTATAGGAAGGAGATTTGGGCGGAAGGGTATTAGATGTGATAGGTTCTACTGTGGAAGAAGGATACGGATTTTTGGGTCATCGATCGCTTCTGGAGGATCTACGATTGTCGTGTGTTTGAAGTGGCCTACAATGTCAAGTCTTGCGGCACTCCCAATTCCGGAAAAAAAAGCCATAAAGTACTCGTCAAACCTAGGCAATGTCAAGACACGAATTCGAGAGAGTAAAATCTCTTACAAGTTCATTTCAAGGGAAATACTCGCTATTTCGGATCTCGCAAGACACAAAAGGAGTGGGTGGGTTGTGAGTGGAAGTGATGCCGGGGAACGTCAGGAATAATACCAATACGAACGGCGTCGAAGATACAAGAAGATACCATGACTGAACAGGCTTTTAAGGCTAATGCTTTCTATTACATTAAAATCTTAGAATAATTCATCTCATTATTCTGGGAGGGAGAACGGTGGGAAGGTTACATGCTGCCAGTTTGGGAAGCTTGGAGTTATGAGGGATAGCTTCAGTCCAAGGCACTTAGAGAATGTATACATCACTTTCTCACCTTAGTTATGTCTAGGCTATCATAGGCCTTCTAACGGTGACAACGGCGTGAACGTTTTCCTTGTCATATTACTAGCTTCGCACTATTTTGGTTGACTCTTTCTAGACTACCACTCAACCCAAGTCGCTGGAATGAGTATATAACTTCCTCTCTCTCAGAATACAGAGCTCTTCACCAATCCTGATATTATTCTTTTCATTCCACATATTTATACAATCTCATCAAACCTTTCAACATTGCTACACGGTACACAATGTATCCTCCAAAGACGATCGGCTCGGAGCTCAATAAGAACCACACTAAGCTTCGGGACATAAACAGAGTCATCAAGAGGCCAAAGGACAAATATCCTGGATGGTCCATCAACTTTCCTCAAAATACGGTCGACTCCGCATTTAACAAGAATCATAATAAGGCTCGAAGCGTGGCCAAAGATGACAAGGGCCCAAAGACCGAGTGGCTCGATGTCAACCAATTCGACGAAGTACTTCCAAATTTCCATACATCAGATCCTTCCATCGCTTCAGTTCGCTGGGGCTTTCCAACAATCCGCACATCCGCTTCAGTGACTCCCCAAGCTACAGCAGTCAGTCACCACAACACCCAATACACAGTAGCAATCACCGCTCTTCAAGTCATTATCTCCACCATAGCAATCAGCGCCTGCTTCTTATTTCTTTACTTCATCTACCTGGTTATTATTCTCCCTCTCTGCAAAGGCGCTAAACGCATCTTCAAGCGTCTCTCAACCCATCTTCATCGCTCGGATCTCGAAAGCGGTGGGATAATGTCCCTACATGAACTAATTGATAATGCAGATATCCCGCCTTACGGACTCAACCCACCGCTCGGTTTACCTGTCTACCCAGCTCGTGTGTATCGTGTGGGACGATACACGGGAGATGATTGCCGGAGAAGTGAGAGGGGTGGGGCTGGGAATTGGATTGCGAGTGTGAGGGGAAGGGGAAGCGAGTTTGTGAGGACGGATTCTAATACCACCCAGTGGGAGAGTGATCTTAGTCCTGCTGTTCTTCTTACTGGGATGCGAGAGGGAGTTGGTGTTTTGCCGTCGAATTTGAGACCGGTTGTCCCTGCGGATGAGGATGAGGTGATGGGACGGGGGAAGTGGAATGAGAGTGTGGAGACGCTTGTTAGGACTCGGTCGTATGTTTCTGTTCTTTCTTTGGCTTGAATGTATTCTCCTTCGTGTATTTACTTGAAGAGTTTGGCGTATGGTTTTAATGTATTTGCTTGGGTTAATATATATGAGTATTGCAAAGATTATTAATACAGGATTTCTTTTTCTTCATTCTTTATTCTTCATGTGTGAATGTTTATGTAATCTTACTCCTTTCTCGTCTTCTATTACGATGATTTATCTTCTATCCACATCTCACCATATATATACACAATCATCCTTCAACTCCTAACCACTAAGCTAGCTCATCGAATTCGCAAGCCCCACTTCCACATCCCTCAATCTCACTGATACCGTTTTTCCAGCACCCATATCCCCCCAAACATAACAGCCGTAGCAAAAGCCGCCAACCCAATCCTATCACCCCGAGAATTCTCAAGGACAACCATCCCATTCTCTTCTTTTCCCTCACCTCCTACATCCTCTTCTACGCCTTTCACTTTTTCTTCGCTCGGTCCCTCTTTCTGCTTCTCGGACGGAGACAGGAACCCCGAATTCGCCAGATATGTAGCTACAACCCTCGACCCCTCAGGAACAGGGAATATAAACTGCGGCTCCCCTCTTTCAAATAATGGTTCCGTATCCTCGGAGGAGGATTGGACGGAGGAAGTGTTTGCTGATGAGGGGAAGGAGGAGTGGAATAGATCGTCGTAGGCGTCGATTATCCAGGATGCGTTTGTTATTATGGAGGCGTTGTCGTCGTCTTCTTCTTCTTTCTTTGAACTATCTTCAGCCGCTTCTGGAGAGGGAGATGATGATGACGATGATGAGGGCATGTCTTTTAATGATGTATTGGTTGTGAGTTGTCGTTCTGAGGAGTGATCTTGGAGAGGTTGAATATCTTGTTTGAGTGGGATGTTACGTCGGAGGAGGTTTGGATGTTTACTCGATATCTCGTCTAGTAATGCAAGGAGGTCCTCGGGGGTGGGACAGGGGTCTGAGTCCAGCAGTTGTGTGTCTGCGAGGAATGGGGTTGTGAATTCTTGAGGGGGCGAGGGTGAGGATGATTCTGAGTTTGTGAGTCCTTGTCCTTGAGAGAATGAAGAAGGCTCCGGGCTTGAAGTCGAGCTTAAAGTTGTTTGTCGTTGCTCGGCTTGTTTCTGTGGTCTCCCTGAAAGTTTCGAGGAGAATCTTCTTAGCAACCCCATTTTGTTATTTTGGATGATTTTGGATATAGAGAGAAAGAGTTAATTGAAAGTCCGTTGGTATTGGGTAGGTATTGTATTTGATATGTGGGATTGTTTTGTATGGACAAGAAAGCATTCACCGACTTTGGAGGTTCTGAGTAATGGTTATCATCCCTCATTTGGGTTGGTGATTGGATTTAGGATGGTTTAATGAGACAATAATTCCGTTTTGTTTTAAGCGAACGGAGCTTTTGTAGTTTGGGCGTTATTCTGGGGTAACACTGTCATAACTCAAGTTATTTAGCTAGGTAGCGGCAGCGCGCGGCATAGTATGCATTTGGAGATTTTGAAATTTACCTACAACAGTTCTTTTTATAACATAGTCATTGAGTAATTCCAAAGATTTTAAAGAAAAAAACATTTTACAGTCAGGTGCTGGGGTAGTACTACACTCAAACAACACTATATTTAACTGAAAACCAAAGCGCAAACTTGGGACTACCTGCGTTTTGACATCACAACTAATTTCCTAATTTGGTGGAAACGTACTAAACACCCACCAGCAACAATACTAAGCGAGCGACGAAGGTCGGTTTACTTGCAATAGGCGCCAAATAGGGCTTGGCAATTATTCGGTCAGGGTTTTCTTCAGACTCGTCGTCAGTTTCTTGCATTTTTCAAAAGTTTAATTTCTTATTTGATAATCGTTATAGAGTTGTGGAACTATGCATGAAATTCGCGTTAATTCCGAGGAGCTTGGGAACCGACTCTCTCTGTGTCACGTCGCGTTCACTGGCTCGCATAGATGAGTAGCTTCGAAACAAAATACTATTATCCATAGTGCTTCCGCTTTTGCCGCCACCACTTATATATACTACCTAGTACTTGCTGTACGTTAACAAAAAGCAATTTTTGAATTAGACCTTAAACGTGAAATACGAAGTACGGCTGTACTGAGAGAATATAGGCTAAAATATTCCGGACAGATAGGTGGTAGATAGGTGAATATAAAAGTATATGAACATGAGGGGAAATGGTGGGCCGCGGGTGGTCCGCGGGGACGCAAATCACACAAAACATCGATTACTAGTTAGTCGACCAACTTAGTGTAGTGTCCTGGACTACAGGAATCCAATTTTATTTTCACCGTAACAAAACAGTAGCCAAAAAAACAATTTAAAATCTCACAACCAACAATACTAATCTGGGGACATTTGCACGATGTCTTAGATATAAAAAATCGGTGCAAATGTAGTCTAATCTGCACGGTTGAAAAAGGTCAGCCAATCAGCCCTTCTATACATCAATCTCCGTGAGTTCATTTATGTTTTGGGATTGTTCACGTAACTCGCAAATACAGTTAAAGCTTTACCTTCAGTCCAAATGATACCAGTATACTGCTCATGGAAAACACGTTCGGCGTTTCTGCCCCACACCCCTGCCGAAAGGTACCCCTACCGGTAGGAACAGTAGGTACTGTAAGAAGCGAACCTGCATGTGATGACGGGAGGCGTTCCGATAAAAGAGTAGGATGGGTTCCCTGCATTTGAATCAGCTTGAGTCACTGATTTGATCATTCTGGAAGGCCGTATATGTACCTCCTACCTTTTTTCAAAAAGTCTCTTGTCTCTAAGATAAGTGATTGTAGATGGGTTCAGAGGCCAATCCCAGTTTAAGAGTCTATGCCAGGTACGAGTAAAAAGTCTTAATCGAGACTCTAGGAAACGTGATTGGTTCGGGGCTGATTGGATTTAAATGGTATGCCAAGTGGTTCGGTCGTTACTCCCACGAATGAAAGGCTCACAAATTAAGGAAAGCATTTACTCCATATATATACAATTTACACATCTGAAGCTTGAACACATAACCCGACAAAACTTACAACATATCCTCATGCAATTTTCAGCTAATAGCGCATCCAACGTCATATTCAAGATCGCACTTGGGTAATATCAACTTATTTTGGATTCTCATAGCACCTGGCCATGATGATGAATATCTGACCAAGCCCGCGCTATATAATCCAAGGTTCTAGATGTCGAGAAAAGATTTTCTCACTGTAGCTCCAAAACCGTATTCCGGTCATGTAACATCTGCTGGTATATAAACCAACATGAATCAATTTAGGTAAATTTACGAGGTACGAAGTAAACGGTCCATCACGTCATCTCAATTCATTTTTTCTTCGCTGCCGGAGTTAGCTCCGGTACTATAGATAACAATTAAGCGAAACATCCAAAACTCATAACTCCCTCAATAGTGAGCATCTAAGATGTGAGAACAGATTATCGGGGTTCAGTTTGTTCTATCTCTACCAAGGTTTTCTTTAACAGATGCGGAAGGCCAAAACCCAAGACAATGAAGCATTTTATACGCAACGACAGGATTATAAGCGACTATCGCCATTACCATTACCGTACCCTTATCGTGGTAGGGATATAGCCATGGGGCTAATTGTAGATCTAGCCTTGTCGGAGGGTCACAGTCCGTAGGGCAGAGTCTTGAAAATTCTTGTTTCCGAACTCTCTCTGTTCGGAACCTTTTCAAGAATGGAGAATGGGCAGAAGATCAGTTGCTTCCATACTTGGAAGCGGAAATCTTTGAGAAGCACCCTCGGCTGTCAAAGGCTCTGTTGAACACTACTTCACCTCGGTATTATACCCGTGAAAACTCCTTTGTCAAAACTTCAATTGTACGAAGGATCGAGGAAGAGTACAGGAATTTCAGGAACTAATCAACTGCGCATTACTTTATTTTTAGAAAGATGTTGATAAAATATATAATAAAGCTTCACTTGGGTTTAAATCAAAGTCATCTCTACAATCGTTGTCTTCAAATCTACCTCGAGTCTCGCAGAGAAGCCCTGGGGCCAAGAATTAATACATATTTGAACCTAGATATCCTTGCCCAAGTATATCCTTCACCTTGTTCTTTGAATTCCCGAATTGCTGTGCCGAGAGCCTCGGAAAGATTACTGATGAAAGAATTGTGCTTTCGCCCCACTTTTGACGCACAGTGTTTGTTTAGAAGTTCTTTCAACGGAAAACTTCCAGTAAGTTCGATTAATCTGTTGTGGTCGGAAGCGCGGTTCGCCATCAAAAACCGGGGGTTCCAGGGACCGGGGAAAGAGCATTGCGGTTTTCCATCGTCGGTGGCTTCAATCTTAATTTTTATTCCGCGTGAATCACCATACGGATTGCTCACCCACTATTGTTGAGGTCTATAGCCGGATGAGTGCCCCCGCAGAGAAAATATGTACCTCTAGATGAAGAATTTGGAGAGTTTGAAAGTTGTTGATTGCTGACTGCATTGTGAGTTTGCCCTTCTTCTCTGGTCTGCAGCTGACTCATATTATTATGTATACTTCCCAGACCAAATTTAGTGTCCCCGACCCAGTCTTGTAGTGGAATGCGTGGTTACAACTGTCTTGCAGTATGGGCGCTTTCTGCCTGTACTCATGTGTTTGCAAACCCCATAGCATTACCAGCACCAGATCCGCGAATGGGAACCTCGAGTTGTACTATAGAACCACTCATTCCAGATACACGGAAAAAGCTTCACATGGATAAATGGCTGAAAAACTATGTGGTCTCTTTGGGCAATATAACCCACGAAGAAATCAATATCCAAGCTTTTTCGGAATCTCTAGGCGCCCCAAATTTCTTCTGGTATGTCTCTCTCTGCTTGACACTGGTAAAAGAGATGCAGCTAGAGTACTAATACCTCCATCATAGTGGTCTCGATAGATTCTGCTTCGCCGGTCAGCCGTGCATTCCAGTCAAACTTCCTGCATGGTAAGTTCTCAGATTTCATCCGTGACAATACACTAATATCTCCTTAGGTACGCACTGGCAGCTATTCAAACTTGGAATAACTATATGAATTCAATCAACACGGCTGTACGCTAATCCTCTATCATCATAATGAAGGTGTTGCCAAGAGTGGTCCAGGATTTATACAATGATCCGAGAGACGGCGTGACCAGGATCCAGGAGTTGGCCATCCTACTCAACATGATAGCTGCAATCATCCCCGCTACTGGCCACTGGGGTGATATCAATGATTATTCGAACTCCGGTCTAGGTGTCTTTGTGAGGAGAATCATTCAAACGCCAGCGCCTGCTGATGAGTTCGTCACTTGGAGCGATCTCTCCATTACCATCGCAACTATGGCTCAAGATTACGATAGATTCATACTGCAAACATTTCAGGATGTCATCAATACACCCATCGGAGCACCAGGTGGAATTAACTCCATCTTAAGCGGGGGAGGGTTTCTTGGTTTAAGCTCAAGAATTACGGAAGCCGACTTCGAATATCACACTAAGCTTCAAGACAATATTTTTGAGGCAGTAACCCTTTACTCCATAACGCTTGCTCTCAGAGCCCAACAGATATTTTTGCAGGTTACTTACAGCGAGAAAAGTAAAGCGAAGAATTGTCACGATTTGAACAAAATTGGAGCTGCTGGTATGTGTGTGCAACGTAATGGAGGATGGACAGGTTATGTAATTCTACAATCAGAGGACGGAAAACTTACCCGCCCCAAGAAGATTGCGGAGAAGCTGATTAGCGCTTATGGATTAACGAAGGAGAGGATTTTTCTTGATACTGTCAAATGCTTTGTTGATAATGGCGGGAAGCAGGTCCCGGATCCGTTTGTACGCACGGCTGTAGTTAACGCAACGACGCCTTGTATCTTCTACATGGAAGTGCGAGAATCAACTTAACAAACGAAATGAACAGATAATAATAATCGAGTTGCCTTCTTTTTAGCATTTCGATGTTCCTTCCGGGTTTTCTGCTTTCTCACTTCCATGTTTGGCGATCAAGAGTGCTGAAGTGTATGATGGATGATTTAGGAAAATGGGACCAAGCACTGCAGTAAGAAACTCAGTATACGATATTATAGTTATTGGAGAGACCGTGAATTTGTAACTCACGATATACCTTTGCAATGGCATTTTACACATAACTCGACCTCACGAGATTGGAGATTCGTGTTCTGAAATTTGTCAATCCATCTGAAGGAAGTCAATCAGCATTAACACATTGCGACATTGAACATATTCTTCCGGACGACTTCGCGCCTTGATTTTAACGTTTCTTGAAAGGTAGAGATAATAGTCGTTTGAGATTTCCGACCGGGCGGTACGATTGGCAACGATCGCGAAAGGATATTTAGCTCTGATACCGGAGGCCGCTACGAATGAAGACCTGATTACGATTATCTCTGGATAAAATATACTGTCATACTTCGCCCAATGCCGAATAAACCAGGGAATATGTGCGAAGTCGTTGGTGAAGTATATGTGGAGGATATGATGAACAGGGAGATGGTTGAAGCACTTGAGCGACGGGATTTTGCAAATAGGGAGTTGGTATTTTGTTTGTCCTGCTCTGATTTGTTCACTCTTTGTAGGCTCTCTCCCCAGGTAGTAGCGATGATTCTTTTTTCGCAGCTATAGAAGATTAGTAAAAGTGTATGCAATGCGGGATTATTTCATATGCCCAGTTTTTGGGAGCTTTATGTTCATTCGTCAGTCGTCACATCAAATGAGGCTTATTGTTGGTTTTTCTTTTGTATTTGCTGGCTAGCTTTAAGTGCTTATAATTTGCCTACATATAGAGAAGTGGAAGCGAAGTAGGTACAAGCACCCTTGGCCTTGTACCCCTTGCGGGGCCAGTTTGACTAACTAAACGCCAAGTACTCGGATTTCGACTATAATATAGACCAATGAAAGGGCTCTATATAGCAGTATACAAAGTATAGAGTAGGGCGTCTAAAAATAAGCACATAGCCTATAAACAAGCACACAGCCGGTAAAAGAAAGAGCATAAAGTTCTAGTACTCATAGCTCTGCCTGTATGTAGAGAAAGCTCCTAATTCTAGTTGACATACAGCTAGCCAATTAGGAGGCTCGATAGTAGAAAGCGAAGTATCCAAAAGTAAAAAGAACTATATAACCTATCCTTAACTCGAGCTAGTACAGCGAGCTATTCGCAAGGGGTATGTAAGTGGAACAAAAGAGCTCACAATAGTGTAGCTAACGATATGGTAGATATGGTAGATATAGTGGTGGTGTTAATAAAGGAATGTGGTATTCTAGTAGTAGGGTAGGATGTAGCTTACTATGGCTTACTAAGCAACCCCATCTCATTCACTATATGTAAATCCTGCTATTTAATAGCCTGATGGCAACCTCATCGTACTAAGTCAATTGTCAAAATAACATCATCTAGTTCCTCTCCACCGACTCAGTGATTTTGATGCTACACTTCCGACAATTTGACAAATCAATATCTATTTGATGTCCACAAGGTCAGAATACAAAAACATATAGCAGAAGAAGTTGAGGCAAGCACTCAGATACGGCCTGTCGTCTAACAACAGACACACCTCATAATCTTTCTATCGACAGTCTAATAACTCGGTGTATCAGGCGATACGGAGGGTTCGCAAAGCGAAAACCAACCTGTTGTAAGTAACCACTGAGGAGTGTCTGTGAGGACCATGATTCTTGTTTTCTACAGGATTTACAATGTATTCGGAATTTCTTACGAAGTCTACTGGTTGTAAGATTACCTTGCTGAGGCCATCGTAAACACACCCTTCTCCCCCTCCCTCCTTCCCCCTCCCCTTTAAAAAAGGTCCCAACAAACCCTGCCTCACCCCCTCCCCAAAACATCAAAAAACTCCTCACCCCCAAAGAAAACGGCCTAGGACAAAGACCAGACAAACTAAGTTCTTTACAACTTAACTAGTCACTCTCCACAGTAAAGCTCTCACTTAATATTTCCATTAAGCTACCCAGACATGTAAGTCTTACCGGACGACTTGGTGTGAGGTTGTGTTGTTTAAGGTTATGTTATGGCTGTGAGAGGGGCCCAGGTGAATGTAGTATAATTGTTTGGGGAATGATTGTTTGGGAAATGGAAGGGAAGGGAAGTAGTGATTTAAATGATGATGAGGATGTAGAAAATACTATTGATGGGAAGTTGTAGCTGTGGGTGAGGATGGGTTTTATAATGAGTTCCAGATGTTACGATCATGTCGTTACGAAGAAACTTAATAAGAAAACGGAGGATGTAGACTGCAGGTAAGGATTGGATGGGAATGTCTTCCAATCCAGGGTGATGCAGACGAAAGTTATACGGAGAAAACTTACAAATATTTGATGGTTCTCAATCACTCATCCCCACCTCTCGGCTCAGTATCTCGATCTAGTAATAGTAATAGCACAATAAGTATATATAAAACAGAATATCCCCTACAAAGATGAAATACCTACCCCTCTCATCTGGAAATCCTTTGATCTAAGTGAGCCTTATTCATGCCTACTTCATCACAATCCCCATCAATCTTAAACACCATAGACAATATTTCTTTCCTCTCCCTCGGTACAGTAGAGCCCCTGAAACTGCGTTGCTAAGCGAGGATCCGAGCAATGAAACTCAAGGAGGTGAACAAGTCAGTTAACAGAGTATTTCAAGTATACTTCACTACACTGCCGGAGCCAGCTACACTCGAACATTCAAGACACACCTCTTTTCCACTATCATTCTTCCATGATTATGACTATAAGAACCATATACATCAAAGGAATTCATCACATCAATCCATCACAGCCCCAGCCCAGCCAGCTGTGCTGGTTTCTTGTTCGTTCTTGTCGTCTCCCAATCCCGTTGGCCAATCCAAATCCCATTCCTCTTTCCCATTCATTCACATTCATACGGAGTATACCCCAGCTCCGCAATAACCTTCGGTCGATTCCTCAGTACCCACGGGACATTATCCAATCTCCCTGCATCTTTCCAAAATCGTCAATACCATCCAAGATGTGATGTTATTCCCGCCCAAAATCCTTCACTCATCGATCCATAAAAATATCCTCACCCCTCCACTTCCCCTCTTCCTCCTCCCCAGCTTCCCTCCTTCCCAAAACCCGCCCATCCAACTTCGCCACAAAATCCCCCGTCACAAGCAGCAACCCCGCCGCCGCACCCGCAATAACTATTTGCACCAGCGCCATGCCAAGAACCGTCAACTTCAGCGTGGGAAACATGTCGAATCCTTCGTTCCCGCCGACCCAGAGCGGCATCCCGATGATGTAGATACCCGTGAGGATTGATTGTAGGACATTGTATGCGCTCTCCAGCGCGTCGTTTTCGATGGATATACGAGAGGCCGAGCGGATGTGGTTTACCGTCGCGATGTGGGTGAGCATCGTTCCGGAAACGAGGAGGCCGAAGATGAGCGTGACGAGATTTTCGTTTATACGTACCTCGTCGTCGCCTCGCCATGCGTTGCCAAAGGCACTAGGGACGGGGTTGCCAGAGTTGATGTAGAATCCGAAGCCGATGAGACTGCCGAACCCGATGAGGGAGCCTGGGATGGTGGATCCTAGATGGCTTCGTCTTCTGGCGGAGACGTCGTTCAGTGGTCGGGAGCGGACGTAGGAAGCGAGTCCTACGACTACGGAACCGATGACGGAGGCGACAAGTGGACCGAGAAAGAGGAGACCAATTTGGTTGGGGAGTTCCATGTCGGGGTTGGTTGTGAAGAGAAGAGGTAGGAGGTAAGAAACTGCGATGGCTGTTGCGTAAATTGGGCCGGTGATGAGGAAGCTAAGAGCTACAGTTGGCGCAAAGAACGCGCGGATGTAGAGCAGTACAGTTGATAATTGAAACTTTGAGGTTGCGTTTGCTTTTATTGGTCGGAGACTGGATAAGTAGACTTTGAGTCCAGATGAAGGGGGCGCTGAAATGGTGGTGATGGTGGTAGCGCGAAGTAAGGTTCTCAAATCGTTCGACTTATCGCGATTGTACGTTGTCTCGGGTGTGATGAAAATCACAAGGACAATCGAGGCTGCTTGCATGATGTTGACAACCATAATCTGGTTTTTGTATCCTTCGTTGATTTGAGATACATAACCTCCAAGCATTGGCGAGCCCCAGGTGAAAATAATGCTTACAACATTATAGATGGTAATTCGACTGGATCTCTCATGCATCTGCTCAAATATCAGTGACTGTCACGAATCTCATATAGTCCTCAAACTGACAAAAAACATGTCCTTGATCGATATCACCACAAGTGCCTCGAAGGAACCCCAGCAAATTCCAGAAAACGCCCTTGATATCAGAAACTCCCTATAATTCCCGGTGACGTGCATTGTCCAAAGAGAGGAGACGAGCAAGCCAATGGAGCTTAGAAGATAAATCGTCCTCTTTCCAATCATTCGCGAGATAATCACGCCCTTGAGGCCGAAGAGTCCACCCAGGATAATCGGAACACCAGTCAAGGCAGCGACTCCCTCCCAACTCGTGTTTAGCTCCGCCTCGAGAACACCGCCGACAGTGACAAGCATCATCTTGAATATACTAATGACAGCAGTTGACAAAAGCAGAGATCCGTAAGCGAGTACTTTTTTCCATTGTGGCCAATTCTAATATGACGTTAGTCAATCAGGAGTCCTTGAATCGCTTCGACAAGTAAAGAAATGGGGATAACGGACCAGAGGATCCTGAGGGCAATCGCTAGGTTGTGGATCAAGCTCGACATCTGCATACTTTCCCGAGCCAAATTTCTTCTTGCGCTGAATGCTTGAAATATTGATGATTTCTCGGGAGGTTTCCGATGTTACTGAGATGGTCTTCGCGTGAGTACGCTGCGGCTTTGGAAATTGCGACTCCATCCTCCCCTTTCTCCAACTGCTTTCCCCAAAGACAATATCGCAATATGCACAGATTCGGCAGGGCCGAAGCGGAATGCCTCGGTCGAATATAGAGTTAAGGGGAAAAAAGTATTAGAAGGTGAATGGTCTCCCCGTGGTATCAAACCAACTTCGCTGGGCTGACTTGCAGTCAAGAATAAGCAGCCCAAGAGAGAAGCGGAAGAAAGGAAAGAAATCTGGATGAGGTTGCAAAGACGGAGGACACTCAAAACCCGGCTGGGGACTTGAGATGGTAAAAGAAAATCATGCGTTTACTGGTACTTGGGCTCGTACCGCATTGAGAAGAAGGGATCCTGGAATTCGGCTGTGCCCTGACCCGATTGAGGCAACCATTGTACAGAGGCATGTCGAAACGTACGTAGTACACTTCAAATTCCAGTGGTCCCGCTCTCTGTGTCAGTCAATGATGATCGGATGACAGGACAAGGGTCGATTCGAGGAAAATCCAATAAGCACTGCCAGAAAATCGTTGCATAATAGCGAGCTTGAATTTGTCTCGCCTGAAAATCATCGACTTTACGATCTGCTTCTGGGTATTCTCCTCCTTTTCAAGCACACAACCAATCCATAACCGGTTACAGATTAGATGAGTGGAGATGCATAAGGAATTTGGGGCTTGATGAAACGTGGTGAGGATAGAAGTGTTTCAGCCGCATCTTTGGGGCCACATTGTGAGGAAGCCAAGAGGAAGTTCCAAACGACCTTCGGCTAAAAGAAGGCATTAAATGTGGGGGCTTGCGGACGACAAACTTTATCATATCTTCCAAACCTGGAAACCATTGGGTTTTTACCAGCCAGTCGAGTACTGAGAAAGAAATATAAAGAGACATCTTGGTTCGTGATTGCTTGCGACCATTGCAGAATCCACACTGTAGAATGAACCCGGAATTTAGGAGATCGAAACATACTAAATGGAAGACCAACCGCGGGGTTTTTATGCTACAAATGGATCAGGAAGAGAACTGTACTTCGCAACAACCTCCCCCATTGAGCAGTGCACCTCGGCTCCAAAGAAGGGTTCTGTCACGGTAATGCCCCATTTCTCGCCTTAAAATTGGATGAGACGAAGCTGGATTTTCAAACTCGAGGGACGCACCAAGAAATTAGCCATCTTCCCATATAAAAGGGATTTCTAGAAGGTACCCCATATCACAAAAAACAAACAATAAAAAACCAGTACCCAACAGAAAATATAAACATGCAGTCTGAGTCGTTCAGCAAGAATTCAATAGAAAACCATGCCCCAGATGATTGAATCGTCAACTTCAAGTACCTACATCAACATACCCCAATCTCATCCGATCCTCGGTGTTGTATTTCCTTGGTACCAAGCGCGACAACCCGACATACTTCCACGACGCTCCCAAGTTCCAAAAGAACAACAACCAGACTCGGATGACAGTCCCAATGACGTTCATCAAAACCCCAAAGAATCCTTAGCATTGCCCCGAACCCGGTCGACATCCTATGCCCTGGTGCAACCCATCCAGTGAGGATACACAGGCCAGGCCGATCCGAGGATATCTATTCTCAAGCCGCACGAACCCAAGGCTCCTCGGATCTCGGTGGCAATACCGTACCTCTGTAGACACTCTGTCCGAGCTTGAACGATATCTTCATACTGTACTAGTATGTTGCAAGCAACCGCACCCCCTCCCTATGTGCGAACGGGTTCATCAACACAGCCCGTATCCAAGGAGGGGGTGTTGCATTCGAACGGGAGATTCGCTGCTATTTCGAATACCTTAGTAGTTAAACAGGTTCGTGAGTTTCCAAAGGGTTTCGTCTATAGAAAATGGCGTCGTCTTGATGATATATATAAAAAGATTGTCTTTGTGGTGGTGTTGTTGAATTTAGCAGTGAACGGTGCCAAGCCCCCCTAGTGCCACTACAAGCATTTGCTTAGCTCTTTTTTTGGCACCCCACATGGTTGATGATCTTTTGCTTCTTTCGACATCTTGAACACCACCGATGAGAGTGTGGAGAAGTTGGATACTGCTGTGTACTGGTGCCTATTTTATAGTGAGAGACTTTGTGGATAGACTATTTAATATCTAGAGCTGGTAGCTAGATATTCTATACGGGTACACAGAATACACTTATAATTCCACCCACTTTACGAAGCATTTCCGATCTCTAACTAGCCATCTTATAAACTAGGAGGGCAGTCTAGGTACAAAGAATAGAGCACACTGTTACGAAGTATTATACCAATATCTCATCTCATCTCATTCATGCTTTACTTTACTTTCCATTTCATTTGCTTTTCATATCATTTTTTCTTACTCATGTATAGATGCATACATACTATACAGGTAACTCAAACCACTACCCACCCACTATCTACAGTCGTTCGCGGTTCCTACCTCACCACCCATCCATCTAAACCACAACTCAGCACCGCAATCCACGTGGTACTTTTCGCACCCTGTTTCTTCCCTCTCGTCCCCATCCCCCTCCACCCGGAAAAAAAGCCCCTCAAGAAACATAATCCTCCGCAACATCATAATCCAGATCATCACCCATACCCCCCGCGCCAGCCTGTCCATGTGCACCACCAGGTGCCCTCATAGGACTAGAATCCACCGTCATGGAATCCTCATCCTCAAGTTTGACATCTGTCTGCGTCTCGCTCTTGACCGAGGGGACATGAGGATTTGTACTTGAGGCCACTGGGGGCAAGGGAGTCTGCACCCAGGCCATTTCCACCTTGCCGACTGCAGGGAGTTCCCCATCGGGAGAACCGTACATGAATTTTTCTGCGGTGAAGCGGTCTTTGAATGTGATGCTGGTGGTGGAGGGTGTGATGTCTAGAGATGTGTATTCACCGATACCCTGTGATGTCTATTAGGAACTATTTCTTAACTGGAAGGATGAAAGGGGGAAAGGGTAATGAGGGAAAGGAAAGAAAAGTAAAGAAACTTACAAGAAGATACTGTCTAAGATTCTCATCCTTCTCAGTATCCGTAAAATCAACCCCCGTAATCGCAATCTTCTTGGGTCGATTATCAAGTTTATAAGCACCACCACCCGCAAACGGCGCACCTCCTCTGCCTCGATACCCACCCCGGAAACCACGTGGTACGAAAGCCCCTCTCCCTCTGTAGCCACCTCGTCCACGACCTCGACCTCGGTATCCATATGATGGTGGCTCATCGACCGACGTATCGATTCCTAATGACTGTGCCTCCGCTTCAAGAGCAGCAAGCTGGGCTTTCAGAGAATCTGTTTGTGACATGGGTTTTGCATCATCAGTCGTAGAAGGAGCACCACCTGACTTTGCAGTTTTAGCAGCCAACTTCTCCATCAGTTTTCTCTTTTCTTCGGCTCGACTCTTGGCCAGCTCCTCTTGTCGTTTCTCGAGTTCTTTTCTTGCAGCTTCCATCTCCAATTTCTTCTTCATCTTCTCCTCGTGCACTTTCTGAGCTTCTTCTTGCTTGCGAGCAAATTCTTCAAGATCAATTTGAGGTTCTGGCTCTTTGGCTGGAGTTGGTTCATCGTTACCGTTTTTAGCAGTCGTGCCAGTCGCACTTGTTGCTGGAGGTTGTGGGAGGTTGGTGTCATTGGTATACCAATAGACCTTGACGAATCTGTTGTCAAAGATGACTTTTGGGGAATTGTAAGCCGCACTTGCACCATTCCAGTCCTCGAATTTGACAATTGACAATCTTTTATACGGTCTCATCGATACTTCGACAATGTTGCCAAACTGAGAAAAGAAATCTTGTACTGCTTCCTCCGAAAACTTGTCTTCAGGAATGTTTTCCACCACAATAGTAGTTTTGCTTCTGTCATAATTCGGTCTGTCGGATGAGAATTCTGCACGTCCTCCTCGCCTACCAGCATTGCCACCGCGATCACCTCGAGAAGGTCCACCTCTTCCTCTTCCTCTATCGTTTCCTCTTGGATTGTTATTGAAATTGTTGGAGAAACCAAGACCCGGACCCATACCGCGAGGACTTTGTGATATGCCATTACTCTCAAGCCCCGTCACAAGTCCCGCATTCGTAGGATCATATTCATCAGACTTCTTTCCTGGTAGCACGAATATCGAATCATCACCATGTTCGTACGTGCAAGTATTTCCCCTCGCGCAAAATCCCCTCTGATCATAATCTCGACATCTCGGTCTCCTCGATTGCATAGCCGGAGGTGGTGGACCAACCCTACCAGGCGAAATAGGAGGAGCATTCAGATTTGGATCCCACCCCATATTCTGGCCCATATTCTGCATCGCCAGCATGAAAGCCATAGGATCCGTAGCGGTAGGATCAAACGGCGGCATTCCAGGCGGTGGACTCGGCATTCCAGGCATATGATTTGGAGGCAGACCTTGGAGATGCATGGGTGGTGGTCGAGCTCCAGGAAATCCTCGTCCACCACGAGGATTGAAGTTATCATACCCCCCTCTCGCAGACATCCCCCCACCCCGTCGCGGCTGCTTGAACATCCTCGAATCCGGACCCCCCATCGGCATCATTCCCCGATCGTGAACATCGCCATCCCCTCGATCATTATATGAACGTTTCCTCGATTCATTCGGTGGCCCATAAGGTGGATCCCCCATCCCAAGAGCTGGACCAGAAGGAGGCATCGTCGCAGGACCCGTAGGCGGCGCAAACGGAAGGGAAGGTCTTCGCTGTGGAGGTGGTGCAACGCCTGGAATGTATGATTTGAAGGTGATGGCGTCAAAGACGTCGCGAATGAAGATGGCAGAATCTTCCTTGAGGAAATCTGGAATCTCGGCCATGCAGAGAGCTCTCACAGCTTCAGTGTCGCCATCGTGTCGCAGGAGTGCAAGTACATAGTCAGCGAGCACATCGGCATCTGCATCGGATCTGCTCAAGACATTAGCTTAACTCATCCATTCACAGGAGCTCACAACTGGTCAGGGGCTTGCGACTAGCCACAGGCAGAGTTGGTGTAAGGAAGGAGCGACGACATACGTATTTTCCAACCTCTTCACAATCCACTTCTTCAACAGCGTAGCATCTTCCTCAGGGAACAACATGTTGATCGCTTCGTACAGATATCAATGTAACCATGCACTAATGATGCTTCAGCGGGCAGCGATCATATGCGAATTGATGGGCGCAGGTGTGAGCTCAGGGTTGGCGCAATTCAGTGAATGGCATGGTGGATGGGGATTGGTATCGGTTTGCTCTTTCCCTCTCCTCTGTCGCGACAACTCTCTCCCGACTTTTCGTGGAGCGCGAGGTCATTTTTGTGGGTCCGGTTTTGACAGGGGTGTGATTTTCAACTTTCAACTTTCAGCTCAGCCAGTGAGGCAAGAGGCGAATGTAAAAGGGTGAACTTTACGTCCGACGCTGAACCCTACTCTCCCTACTCTCCCTACTCTCCTTTGCTAATGAAATAGGTATCCATGAGCTTCATTTTCCATATTAATACTTTATGAGTATACAAGCATCGTATTCTCTATCTCATTTCAAGATTCTATAATTCCCTACGGAGAATAAATTTAAGGTTATCATTCTCTCCTTATCTTGGCAAAGATCGCCTTACCAGTTTACTTACCCTATCTGGGTAGTGAGGTGAAGACGAGAAAATAATGTAGTAAAAGTAATATCGAGAAGCTTCATAACCCATAATTCAGAAACCCTATCCAAAGCTCTCCAATCCACGAACCAAAATCTTTCTGAAAACGAACAAGAACTAATTGTGAAGATAAGTGTCATGAAAGGCTAAGCACTCGTAAGTGAATTATCTACTAGCACCTTCACTCTCTTCCCCCACCACCACACCATACTATATACAATACATATCAACACCCACCAGACTATCTCTAAAAATCCATAATCAGAGAAATCCACTCCTCCCATCAGCTCCTTACTAACTGACCTATCTATACACAAACACAAAAAAATAGGGAAAAGGAAAAGTGGTATCATAACAAAACCCTTAGATCCATGCCATACCATCCCATTGATTTTCCCATCCTTCCATCCATCGATCCATGCAAAACCATTAAATCCACCACTTTCGCGTTCTCACACCCTCTCAATCTCTCCCCTTTGTCCCCCAAAAAGATTGCCCTAAAAAGCAACACCAACCCTACTCCTCCTCACCCCCAGCCTATCAACCTCTCCTCCCCCTTCCTTGCCGGTCTCATCCACATCACCATCCCCCCCTTCACACCCAAACTCCACATACCCCCTCTCACCCCTCTCACCCTCATCCCTCCGTCCAGGACTACTCTCTGGCGTCCCCGACGTCCCCTCCACCTCCTCATTCCTCGTCTCAAAATCATCAGAATAAGTCGTCGTCACGGTATCCACGCTCGAAAGCGTACTAACAGATCCCCGTCGGTTGTGATGGTAGTTGGTGTTGTAGTTATAGTAAGACTCGTTGATGTGGGGTATTTCTACGCATTGGTAGAAGCCTTCTTTTTCGGTGATGGGTTTGGGTGTGTTTGTTATGGAGTCTAGGGATGGGAGTCTTTTGTGCCCAGCGTCGGGGGTGTGGGGTGAGGAGGTGTTGTTGGGGAAGAGCCAGGGTGAGACGCGGTTGAAGGATTTCTTTTTTCTTAGTGGGGGGTGAGCTGTTTGGTTTTGGTTTTGGTCTTGGTGTTGGTTGGTGGGGATGAGTGTTAGGGGAAGAGGTGGAGGGAGTGTGTAAGCCTGTGGACGGAGGGGNTTCTTTTTTCTTAGTGGGGGGTGAGCTGTTTGGTTTTGGTTTTGGTCTTGGTGTTGGTTGGTGGGGATGAGTGTTAGGGGAAGAGGTGGAGGGAGTGTGTAAGCCTGTGGACGGAGGGGTGATTTTGGAGGTGGTGTGGGGATTCCAGTTGGTGAGATGGCGGACATTTGGAGGGGGTGCATGGGCCGTCGTTCGAGTGGTAGAGGTTGGGGACGGTCGATGATGGTTGTTGTTATTGTTGAGCCGGTGGTGGAGGAGGCGAGGCGGTTGGTGAATGAGGGTTGAGAGATGGGTGTGTGAGGCATTGGTTCTGGGGTTTGTTAGTATGAGTTATATATACATAAATGAATTGGATGAAGGATAAAGTGGAAAACAAACCTCTCGTAACATCTGAGTAAATACTCCTCGCTCCCCTAGAAGGAGCCCTCGACGTCGGTCGACTGTTAAAATAAACACTCCTCCTCTCCTCAATAACCTCATCAATATCTCTCAATCTCTGTTCCAACTCAAATTTCTCGTGAAGAGCACTCTTAATACGCTCATAAGCCGGTGGCTCCGTCATAGCACGTAACCTGGCCTGTTCCGGAACTCGGGGAAGCTCACTCTCAATATTCGCCAACAACTCCTGCGCACTAATCGAACCAGGTCTCGCCTGAAAATTCGAAGCCCACTCACTCGAAGCTCTCGAGCTTGCGCGCAAAGGCTTTCTAGGAATCGTAAACGATAAAGCACTATCACTCCTCGTATGCGTCACCACCGAAGGCGGTCGAGGAAGTTCCTCCAAAGCATCAAAGTGAGGAAGTAAGGGAGATAGTCTCTCTTCCCGGTATATACTTAGTTCTAAGGGTCTGAAGGTAGCCGGGCTTCGAGTGGGCATTGCTTGTGCTACATGGCGGAAATCGGATGGTGCTCCTATGCGCGGCCGGCGCGGGCCATTATAGGCGTTTAACTTTCTTCTCGCGGAGAAGCGACCGCAACTTGATGCGCGGGATGCAAATTCTTTGGTTCGATCGGCCCATTCTCTTCCTCTGCTGGTTCCGGGTCGAGAGGGGGGTTCTGAGTTTGGTGGGGGAATTAAACGAGGTTGTTGGTTTTCTATCCTCCTAGGTCTTTTGCTGTCTATATTTGTATTAGATGGTGTGAAGGAAACAAGATGCACTTGCGCTCTTGCTTGTGTATCATGGAAAACTGACGATGTCTCGGGGAATCAACCTCGTTCTCGCTGCTCCGTGATAGGGAACAGCAATTGACGGCTACCGCTGTGCCCAGCCAGGCGGTATAAGCAGCATCCAGATAACCACTCAAAGTCTTCATGATGTCTCCTGCATTTCGCACTCACAGAGCCAGAAATCTCACAACACAAATGAAGGAATAAGAATATAAGAATGGAGAAGAGGAAGTGAGCGCAAGGAGGAGGAAAAAGAGAAAGAAAGAAAGAAAGAAAGAAAGGAAAAAGGTTGGAAGTCGAGGCAGACTCTTTGGGATAATTGTAGCAAGGTCCCACGACAGGTTCGATAGGTTCAACAGCATGCTCACCCACACGTCTTGGAAGATGATTCGTTCCCCTCACTCAGCAGTCCAAACTCGGCTGCTTTGATGGAAGGCAGTTGGAGGCGCGGAGGATCATGGAACCTGGTGGGTGGATGTGTGTTGCTACCTTTTCCTGCCAGGGCCTTGACCTACCCGTAGGCGGACGGTCATCTGTTTGGTCGCAGGCGGGTACACATCGCCCTCTTTGGATGGAGGTTTGGATGTCACGCACGTTCTGATGAGGTGATAGGACGACGTCGGAATAACCGCTATTAGAAAGCCAGAACCGGTGGCTGTCAGGCTGACGTCCGATTTAGAATGGGCGATGGTGGGTCCGTCAAGCCCCGCTTCTGCTTCCAGCACCACCAGTGCAGTGCAGCAACACTCACCACACTCAAAAAGTTGCCCTGATGTATTCTCCACTCACCTGCACACCTGCACACCATCAACCCCTCCTCACCAATCAACTTCTCCATCGCACCTCTCATCCGACACACCCAAGAACTCAGATCCTCAAAATCCCCACGTGCTCCCACTCCGCCCCAACCATCTCCATCGCCTCAGGTGATGGGAATGAATCCCTCGTCTCATGTTACTATTAACTTTCACGTCAGGTCCCTCGTCACCACTGCCGGTGTCCCCAAAGCCAAAGGATTGCGGGACGCCCGAGGATTCCGCACGCGATGGGATCCGATGCGATGGGATGCGATGATTGTTTGAAGTTTCAGAAACAAACAAGCAACGCAACCGGATCTGCGTGTTTTGTCGGGAACACCATTTCCCCACAGCCAAGCCAAGCCGAGAAGCTCATTGCTCTCGTTGATCGCCGAGAAAACCGGGGCTTCCTCGACTCACCAAGCGCTGAAGATACCTCTGTATATTTTGGTCTTTTTTTCTCACGTTTTGCTGGAATGAGGAGGTGTGTTTGGAATCCATCAAGCGCTGAATAACGGTCTTCGATCTTTTCGTTTCTCCAATCACGGGTCTTGTCATTAATCTGTGACAGTCAACCTCTAGTGAGGCTGAGATGAGCTGGCTCTGGACGTCCGGAAGAGTCGTCATATTCTACTCATTCGTTGGGAGACGCGTGGTCATTAATGTCATCTTTCTATTAAAAAGAGCCCTGAGTTGAAAAGAATCGGGATATTTTGAATATGTGGCTGTGTCGGCATGATCTTGCGAATATCTCTCAAAACAAGGCACAGTCTCACATTCAATCAAACCCACAACTCCATTCCAACTACACTACTCAATCATCATTTTCCCACTTTCCCCCAATCCCCTTCACAAGACCATCCCCCATCATCAAGTCAAGTTTACCTAAACATAAATATAACAAAGCTCCCCACCCATCCCCCCAATACTACTCATCAAATCCCACGTCTTCGTCGGCGGCGCAGTCCACTTCAAATCCACCGTATCATTCTTGGGCGGATTACCAGCCAGAACATTCATTCGGTTCTCCGGGTCTTGCATCTGCTAGATCCACCAAATTCGATCAACCATCCCGTGATGAAAGTAGAACACCGGATCACCTGGTGAGGAGAAGAAATCCTATCAAAAAACACATCAGCCACTTCCCCTCCATCTCCGTCCTCATCTTCCCACATAAAGCACATAACTCAACATAACATAACCTAAATCATAAACAAAAACACCCACCCCACCCGGATCCCCACCAATAGTATAATGCACCCCCATATGCACGCCCCAATCATTCCTCGACTTATTCCCCAGCATATTCGCTTGGAACGCCTCGATCGTGGGGTTCTCTGTGATCAACGCGTAGGTATAGTTATCAAACGTCACTGCGGAGGCGTGTTTATTCACATCCCGACGCAAACAACGTGGGTTACTTCCGAAGCCGTCGGCTTGGGGGTTTGAGGGGATGTTGCTGACGATTTTGGAGAAGGGGCCGAGGGAGACTATCATGCTGTTAAGACAGTGTGTTAGTTTTGATGTGTGGATGGGGATGTGAATATAAAGAAACTTCTTGGTTTATTCTCTCTCTTCCTAGTCACTCTCTTCCTGGCTTGTAAGGGTTCGAAAAAAAAACATTTTCCACATCCAAAAAAAAAAGAAGAAGAAAAAGGGGGCAACAAACTCCCCACAAGGCCCACTCTCAACACATCCCCCTCCGCCCGCGGAAGATATCATATCAAACGGCGGATCAAAGCTCGTCGAAGGGATCCCGGGGTACGGATCTGGACTACCGTTTCCGCCATGGAGGTGTTGTTGCCGTTGAAGAGAGGGGAGGAGATGGGGTCGTGGGCGTAGCGGTTCCAGTTCCAGTACTGGGGTTTTTCGTTTGTTAGTTGGGGAAGGGTTTGGGGTTGGGGGGGATAGGTACAGGTTGATACCTAGTATATCCGCATTCTTCTCTTAATGCTTTTTCGTAGGCGTGGATGTAGAGTCTGTGGGCGGGGAGGAGGTGTTGCTATCATAATCTCTTGTTAACCTCTTTTTCCCTTGACCCCCTTCCCTCCTTTCCTCTCCCTCTCTTCCCACTCTTCCCTCTCCATCCTCTCTCAACCTCCTCTTCACACCCCACTCTTCCATCTCAAAAATACGTACTCATACTCGTAGCAAGAAAAATAGAAAGGTATACAAACATACAGTAGAATGCAACTCCAAAGCCATCCTCTCATGCGTCGCCACAAAATCATCGAACCAATTCAAGGCACCCGGGAACTTGTCACGTGGGGATTTGGGGGTTTTTTTTGCAGACATAATACGGCTGTGATGTATTCTTT